AAGCTTCATTACCCTCCTACCCCACCCCGAAATATTGGTGCCCAACTGCCTCCCCCCACTCTGCTAGTTAGCTAGTGTACAATATCGACGGCATGATTTCCGGAGTCATGTCCTCCCCTTCCCTCCCCCCCACTAGGTCCACTTGATTGCCACTCCGGCTTCCGCCATCCCAATCCAGATTTGTCGCCCGTTTCCTACCGTAGTGTTTTGTTATGGGGGGAAAGCCTCCTCTCCCCCGGGAGACGAGGTCCATACACAACCACATACATCCAGCCTACCCCCCGACTTCCCTCTTGGTGACTTGTTTTCCGGTGCCCCGCTACCTCTATTCCCCTCAATAGGCGTCGAAATCAAAGGCGGATGAATAGAATATGGATTTTCGGATGAAATCAGAGGGATGGAGAGATTTTAAAGGGAATGGTGACAGGGAGGGCGGGCTAGAAAAATGCGGAAAGGCTGAGAGCGCAGTGTTAAGCGTAGATTGTTCCTTGCTTAAATTTTCCATCATTGGATTAAAGGGACCGACAAGGCATGGCGAGTTTGCGTCTGTAGATTCTGCCTTTGCCTCGAATTGTCAGCTGTGATGAGTCACCGCCTTGACAGAAGCGATGCGTCAAGGGTTCCGAGTTTTGGGTTTTGAGCCATTCCATCAAGAAGAAAAGGAATGCATATGAATGCCTTGCAAGTCCCTTTAATCACATAAAGGACCAGAAGTTTTGAAGGAATTGTAATAAACCTGGACTTCAGAGGAGGTAAATAGCAAAAATAGAATGTTACAAGAACCCCAAATTTGCATAAACAAATCACCTAACACCAATGACGACTTAGGTTTTTAAAAACTACATTAAGAAGTTGCAGAAATTGACACGATTTTTCATCTCGGGTTTTAAGTCGATTCGCCGAAAAACTGTTGTTGCCATAGATGTGCCGCTGGATGGGATAATGAGCAGGGTTAGAAAGGGGGATAGAGGGTGTGTCGGGTGGGATATGCGCACCCTTTGAAATCGGACACACCATGTCGAGGTCGACTAATGCACGAAATTGGTCTTCCCGCACTATTGTCATCTATACCAACAACCCTCACAACGAAAAGGGGTATGACTTTTGGATTCAACGGCTCAAATCAATTGCAAACTATCTTCTGAAAGCCGGTGGCCCTTATTTTCGTGATTCTCAAAAAAAATTCCGTAAATTGAGCCTCGACTTAAAACAATAATTTCGGGATGGTCTCCAAAATTTATCTATTTTACGTAAGCCACGTTTCCACAGCCGATCATCTTTTGCTGGCCGTTTGGTAAAAATTAGGATACGACATGATCTTTTTTTATCCTTTAACTTTTTATTTTCGTTTGTCTAATCAAAAGTTTTGTCGTTATTCACGTCCCTTTAAAATAATGTTTGCTGGTCTGGGATAGCCATCGGACCGTCCAGTCGATGTCTAACAAAGCCCGCCGGGTGACAAGATAATTTGAACGTTCAATTCGAGCCCCGGGCATATGGCGACGATGGATTGGTGCGGAACGGAAAATTACATGTGAGCAGCGGGGGGAGGATGAAGTGCCGTTTCGCGGAATTGGACAAGTGAGAAGTTGTCACCTTGCCTTCGAGGGGGTAAATTAAAATTTGAGGAAGAGGGGAAGAAATTCGAGATATAGCGAAAAGCATCGGAAGGAGTGAAAAATGTCTTAGAGGTATATAAGAAAAATATGGCGAAATCAGTTGATAACCAGACTTTAAGGTTTTTGGCAATTTTTTGGAGTTCCGCTGTTTTAAACCGTAGTAACGTTCCTTGGAATTTTAAGGGGTGGTAGTAGGTTGGACATGGGGAAAATGGTTAGCTAGAAGCTCATAAATATAGAATTTTCAGACGATGAGCTTTACGCAACTGTCTTAATTTTGTGTGCTTAATCTGAATTTTCTTCAACGGCTAAGAACCATGACGACTGACATATCCGCCAAAATCAAACACCCAAATCAAACCCAGATCCGCCTATGCTACCATCAAAATTTACATATCGCTGATCCGTAGCCCAAACAACACTCCCTTTGCTTAATCCTTAATCCCCACATTACATCGTTAAAATGTGCTGCCAACCGTTGCTGCTCCGAATAACCAGCTTACCCCTTCCACCCACCCACCCCTTCCCTCTGCCATTCGACCGAGAGTTTCCGGATGAACTGCCATGCAGAGATAAGCGGAAAACACCTACCTGGCCGAATTAGAAGGACGGGGCGTTAAAAATAGGATCGAGCGACGCTTCGTTGACCGATCGGGTCCGGCCGGTCGAGCAAGCCGTGAAATTCAAGACTAGGAGACGAAGGGGGGTTATGTGCCCTGAGGGCAGTCCTTACTGGCTCTCAGCCACGCCCAGAAGGAGACCCACCATCCAATCCCTTCGCTCGATGGATGGAACAGAGGGAGAGAGAAGGGGGAGCTGCCGTCAAAATGCACCGTAGCCCCGGGGGAAGAGAGAGAGAGTGAGAGAGAGAGAGAGTGAGAGAGAGAGAGAGGGCGTTGCGAATCGACTTGTTCGGACGTATCGATAGCAGAATTACTGTACCTCCCCACCTTTTATTCTAATTTTTTGAACATTTTGCCTCGTGTATCTCTTGTCCCTTGCTAGCAGGGCCGTAACAAACCCAAATTTCGGGGGGGCGACCCCAAAAATGTTTCACAAATATGACTAAAACTACAGCGCCGCAGGCAAAATTTTTGAAAACATAGGGTTTATAACGCTAAAACTAGTGTTAAAAAAATCTTTGTCAAAAAAATTTTTTGGAAAATTAAATCTAAGGGTCCCCCTTATGAACTTTGCCTTCGGCCGATTTCGGGGGGCTCGCCCCTCGCCCCCTCTTACGGGCCTCTTGCTAGGTTCTGAATATTTTTTCTAGACGTTCTACACTTTTTTTCTATGAAATACATGGTTTTTTGGAATTTGTTAGGGTTATTGTTGTGTTTCACGTCTCTTGCGCATTTCAGGATACTGGCCTATCCTTTTCAACGAAAAAAATGACTCCTTGATTCGTGGTGAGCATGTCTTATTTAGATCATTTTAGAAACATTTGATGTTCCTTTAGAAAGTAAGAACTGAAGCTTTTCAGAAGTATAGAAAAAAAGGAGTTTGCTCGGTATCGAAGGTGCCCCGAAAAGCCGGTCAACTCCGGCATTTTCGGCAAAAAAAGCTTTGTTTCTGAAACTGCCCACTAAATTTTATTCCACCATCTTCCTCCCAAAATCATACAACAGCGAAAACATAGGAATCCCATCCGAAAGCCATTGTGACTTTGTGGGATTTTGGCTGTTGGATGGGGGGGGGCTGTAGAAGCAGCAGGGGAGAGCTTGTCGAGCACTCATGTTCGGAGGCATTACTTGTGCTCGAATGCCCACCAATGCTCGACTCGACCCAGTCGACGGGGGGCCAGAAGAAGGCCTACAAAAAGCCGTCTCCACTACCACTTCCCAGCCCACAACCACCCACAGCACCTCCTATTTCTGTGGTGGTAGAGGGGGGGGTTGAACAATCCATCTTCGCTCCGTATTGGGAATTCGAGATATGGCGCAGAAGAAAGGTTGATGTGGCTATGGGGAGGAGGAGGACTCGTAGGTATCTAATTTCTATGCTAATTTTGGCGTGTACTGTAGTTTTCCCTCCCAGTCTTTTGGCTTGAGAAATTCAAGGTAAATAGGTATCTGAAATACCTTTCCTTAATGCTTAACGACAACTAGGCACTCTTAAAGGGCCAGTGAAGTCTGACCCCCAGCGTTGATTCCCAGCAAATAGCTAGACACGCCCGCAACTCAGCCGGTTCGCACGCTATTTTGTCCGAGTTTCGAAGTGAAACCGCTGGAACTTGTAATGATGCTGTTTTTGGGATCGGCAAGCAATTCCGATCATTCTGGCTGTTTCAACTTAAAATTCCCTCAAAAGCTTGTCGGACAACCTCAAAAATACTTGCTCCCTCTCCTACCATTCTGGCACGCAACTCTACCGTATGACCAAAGACACAGCTCCCCCTTTTTTTCCGCTCACCATGTTGCCGTTGTCCATTTGCCTAATGCCATTGTAATTATAGGGAGGTAGATGTGCTGCTGCTCCCCCTCCCCAACCACTACCACCACCACCTGGCCGGGGCCAAAGTTTCCGATTGACTGAGCTTGGGACATGGTGACATGTAAAGGGGAAAAGGATGGAAAGGGAGGTGGAGAGTCGAGAATGGACTCACAAATGTACACTGCAGGCACACTGACCTGGTAGCCGATTCTTGGACATCGTTGTTGACCATTTGAGATTCTGCTAATCCGGGTGTTGGGGTGGGGGGTGGATGGATAGAGCAAGTACCATAGGTTGCTTGGATGTTAATATTGACTGTATAGAAACGGGAAAATAACGGAAAATAATACGGTATAAAAAATCGCAGAAAAAAGCATCCTAAATCGTTTGCATAAAAACCCCTCATTTGTAGAGACAATGAGATCTTTTTCAGGATGGTGTTGCTTCATTAGCATGACGATTTACCGTACAAAAGTACTCAATGTCCCTATCTAAATTTTTATGATACCCCATTGATACCCAACCATTTCATCACCAATATTAAGGTTTGAGTTTAAGATGCCCTCTTCAGAATTCATCACAAAATTCCCAAATTTAACTCGTTTAGAAGAAGATAACTGTCAGCTACAAGGTCTCCCCAGCTTTTCGAGGAAATCCCCCCATCGACGTAGTTTTGAAGTCTGACTCCCCGCCATTATTATTCCGCTAATCTGCCCATCCACCGTGAACGGTAAATCATTAATGGGCAGACGCGAGCCAAATAAGATTTGGCTGCCCGAAAAATATGGAGATCCCAACTGGGGCGAGTTGCTCCCGAATTTTGAAGCGAAAATTTCAGGTATTTTATTAGTTGCCTAGACACTATAGGCAATCGCAAATTGCTCAAAATGCGATCAAGCTTTCAACATTTTACATTTACATACAAACTAATGAAGATCAAAGCAATTATGACATTGTGTGAATTTCCTCGACGACAAATTGATAGGGTTTTGGCTGCAGCACCATCGCCGGCGTCGGGGTCAGGTCAATCTTTTCGCCATTGATTGGCGTGAATTTGAATCTGAATCGAAATTGGGGGTGGGTTCGATTTGATATACCTTTGCAGCAGACCAGCGAGGCCGATGAACATTTCAACACGAGCCAGACCCTCACCAGCGCATTGGCGTTTTCCGATCGAGAATGGGGATAGGCGTTCGACCGCTTCCTGAATTATTTGAATTTTATCAAAACTGTGAGAGTTTCAGAATAACTCAAATTTAACATTAAAAACCTGAAGTTTTAAGACACATAATTACAGATCAAGTATGATCAATTTCTGGAGTTTTTCCAGTTAGGAATAGTAATAAACAGCTTATAAACACTTTTCCTAATTCGATTAAAATTATTTGGTCCACCTCAGATAATGGGAAAGCACCCAAAGCTCACGCACCTTATTTGTAGTCTTTCCGTCTTGCAGTAGAAAACGTTCTGGGCGGAATTCCTCCGGTTCCACGAACGCTGGATCGGTATTGTGGACATGATGAATCTATAGTAATTAGAAATAATGGTTTCTCAAAGAACACCTGGCCAATGACAAGCGTCCCAACGGGTATATCGTTTCCAGCAATTGACGTATTGCATGTCGTTTTGTGGAAAACATTTAATGGAACGATATTTGCACATCGCTAGACAGCAACGGCTCTATTTTCCCATTAATGCGAACCTGTACTTCCAAAACTGTTGCGTTGGTATATGGTAAAGCGGCCTTGTCGGAATAACCAGGAATTTTCTCACCTCCAAAGGACGCCCATATTTCTTGGCGGCATTTTTCCTGAAGAGAAACTGATTTCTCATGATGATCTTACCTGTACATCCGGGTAAGCAGCCATGTATAAAATGGCCCATCGCAATGTGGTTGTCGTTGTTTCCATACCGGCCAAAAAGAAGTCGGTAACAACATTCAATGCCTGCTCTTCTAATTCGCCCCTTAGAAAATAAATGGTATTGGGCGGTTAGCGGGGGGCGTTAGCGGGTGAGGAACCTATTTTTTCTAGAGTACTTATAGGGTTTTACATAGTTTTTAGATGCAAAAAGCCATTTACAAGATTAGGGATCCTTTTAAATATCTTTTATAGTTTACTTGCAATGAAAAACCTACTAAAAAACTCTATAGATAGAATATACTATACCTTAGCTCCGAATCCGCCCTTTAGACAAAAGGCTAAAAAACTCTTTAAAATATACTGCGACAATCAGGTAAATCAAAAATTAGTCCCTCTCCGGCTAACAGTCCAGTACCTAAAAAAATCCAAAATCCTACTTGACCGTCTCATTATTTTGCATCCGCTGATAGTAGGCATGGGTAAAGCAAGTAGGTTCCTGATCCAGATGGTAATCCCTTAGGCTGGCTTTTAGTTGAGCTCGACAATAATCTTTGAACTAGAGCACTATTGTAAAAAAGAAGATGCACATTATACCGGTTGGAGGTGTCGAAAATGGCGGTGATATGCATAATCACCAATTATAGGAAGATCAGCGATCCAGGGATAGGTTCCGGCAAGGAATGTCCATTTTGAGCCTCGAACAACTTCGAATGTCTAAATTCACTCTCAGATAAGGCAACAAAAAGTTTTCAATTTTGAAATTTTCAATGAATTCTGCAATTCTAAAGTCATGCCTGAAATTCCCGCGCAATTTTGATCATTTTAGCTGTCTTAATTCTCAAACTTTATATATGAAAGTGATCGCGGAATTGGATTAGTAGCGAATTGTACAGTTTTAAGCTTTGATAGTTTTTCCCTTACTTCCACAATCGAATCAGCGAGTCCCATCAACACAGAATCGTCGTCAAATCGATATTTCGTCCCAAAAATGGTATGGTGAATTATGTTGGCGATGAAAAACTATATAATAACCTATTACACTTTACATGGTACTTACCTGAATTGGCACCCTCATATTAACACCTTTGTTCTTATTTGGAAGGCCTCGTAAATATGCATCCATATCCAGGAAACAATCTTTTACCTAGAAACACAATGCCAAACCCAAATTACTCAGGTGTTACCAATTCCTCCATTAAATTCCTTCCCATTCCGAAATCACGGAGTATTTGAATGGACACGCGTCTATTCTCTCTCCACATATTTCCCTCAGAAAATATAACGCCTCCATTTTTGGTTGATTGGAAAAGGATATCGGGAAACATTCCCGAACGGCCAGCGAATTCTTCACCTTTAAAAGACTTGTAGTAAACAAATTGTGTTTGTATTTACCTTTTGTGGTAAAAGCTTGCTTGATCAATTCATAATCCATAATGATGACCAAGGGCCGTGGAATAAAAATTGTGAATATAGGGCCATGAATCTTCGCAATTTCGACTAGACTTTTATTAATTTCGCCGGCATCAATCTAAAAATTTTCAATAGAAATTGAATTTTTGTAACCTGCAATGCATTGCCAACTAATGGCCATGGGGTTGGCCCTTTCGGATATCGTTTCACATTTTTATAATATGAAAGCAGATAGTAGGTGACAGCTAGCAGAAAGAGTACGGTAAATGCGAACATCTGAAGTGGCGGAAATGATGCAGGAAATGCTATACACTTTGGAACGCAAATAAAATAGATGTTGGGCTTTGGTTGGCAAGTGGAATGGCCGACACACACTGCTCCTTCTCACCTCAAAACCCCAATGAAGAAAAGGTTTCTGTTTATTCAAAGGTAGGGACTGGCAAGGAGTTTTCAAAAGGAGCCATGGTTTGGCCTATTGCCCGTGCTCTCCAACTCGACTTGCTGTATCATTGCAATTGGATTGAAAAGCTTTGGGAAACTAAATTGTGGTCGATATCAGGAGTAGAAGGTCATTCCAATTAAATGTCTTATCAGGACGAGGCGATCATTCGTCAACACGCAATCGTCTGTCAGTCTTTGACATGCTCAAAATGAAACGATCGTTTTGCTGAGTTCTAATCGCTTTCCCATGCAGACCAATAAATGAACTCCGATCCACTTCCTAGTGGTCCGCCTATGCAAAACTAGCAGCTTCTTCACGGGGCGATAAGATGCCCGATTAACTTGTTTGCCTTCAGCGCGGACTCCGAAGTGATCAAACAAAGTGCAGATAATTTTATTCATAGAAATAGATATTCTGATAAAATATTTTAAGATGCAAAAAATCGTGATCGAAGCCTCGAAATGTAAAACTAGCCGCTTATCGGCTAAATTGAACAAGCAAAAAATGATGGTACAACGGATTGACAGTCCGGTTCCCGGGTACTATAAAATGCAATTTCTGAGACGAATTCGTGGGAGAACGGGATGGAAAGGTTTAAGTGATTAATATCAGGAAAATGGATAGCCGGAAATACGGGGATCAGCTTAACACAGTTGCGAAATATAGATACAAAATCGAGACAGGAATATGCTGGGTATTGCCATCGAGTGATTTGAACCTTTTCGAGATTCGAGAAAGAGTGAACTGGGCTGGGGGGATCGATATACGGCATTTACCCAGGCGAACTGGGGAGATCGAGCCGCGTTTCATTCACATACAAAACAAGAGCAGAACAAAAATTCAGTTGCTCAGTAGGACCAGATTGGATGGCACTGGCGAGCCGGGATTTGAGAGTACAGTAGGGAAGAAAGATTTGTGGGGTTTTAGATCAACAAAACATTAATTAGCAGAATCACATACATGAATGCCGGTATTTGATTCAATTGTACGGGTAGAGAGAGCAAGTGCTATATGGAAGATCGGTGGAATTTGAACAGGAGGAGACACAGGGAACAGCGAAATAGGGTCCGGAGAGAAAGTGTGGCTGGGTACTGCAAAACGAAAAATGTTTATGTAGAGATCTGGGCAATCGGGCAGACATTTTCAAGCTGTTCGTTGCTATTTCGATAGCACTCATCACAGATCCAGGTGCTGCCCGGGGTGGCACGGATGTGGAAGTAGGCGCGATCGTTCAGGCTACTGCATTGCTGAAAAAGATAAATTATTGAAAGCTTTAGCCTGGATTGATTTCTCCAACGCAAAATCTAGGCCTGAAAGCTACAGACCTTATGGTAGGTCCGGCCGCACTGGACACCGCACGTGATCGTCAGATCGTCTTTCTAAAGAAAAGTTTATAAAAGTAGATAGAAATCAACCTGAAGTTTCCCGTTACAGCCTGGGCAAAAATCGTCGCCGATAGTCTAGACATATTTTGTAAAGGAAATAAGGATTGACAGTACCTCGTCCACGTCCATTAATTCGGCCGGATCCGGTTTCTCGTCTCGCAATTGCCCATTAACTTCAGCATCTTCGGGCTTTGGTTCACTGTTCATCGATGTTGGTGTTATCGGGGAGAAGTCAGGCTATAAAATGGATGGTTTTTTGGGAATTAGGAATGCTGACTAAATGAATAAATAGACCCTCCATTCTAAGTAACTGCAACTACAAAAATGTGAGCAGTAAAGAATTCCTACCTTCTTATCCTGATCTGCATGGGTTCCATCAGCCCCAGATGAGGTCGAGGAGTGTGGAGTGCCGGCGGGCTCCGGCTTAATCGGTGTATTCTTCCCACCATTCGTCTCCGAAGCCTGGAAAGATCACGTCAGCACAATTTACGCACATTTTTTCGAATTCGCAGGGTCGCTGAAACTGCGATTTTATAGAAAAAGAGTAGACAAATACGCCACGGAAAAAGTTGTATGAGGATTAATTATGCTACGGGGTTTTTTATACATTTGTGGCATGAACTGGTGGGCTCGCAAAAATCTGTTGAGCTTCTACCCACCTACCCACCTAGCAAAACAAGTTAGTGTCGGCCTAAGGTGAGAAAGTGAAATGTATTCTAGCACACGATTGGAAAAGTTCAAAAATCGTTTTGTTATGTGACGACTTTTGGTAATTGAGATTGAATAGTTACCGATGGGGGTCCGTTTAGGTGCAGCTGGGCGTTAGGATGCTGCTGGATATCGTTGGATGACTGCACCGTATTGGTATCCAGCAGCCGGCCGTTTGGGGGCATCTGCGAATTGTCGATGTGTTGGGATGGGATGGCCATTTGATGAAGGTGGTGGTTGTTGTGGTGGTGGTGGTAGATGGCCTGGCTGAACACCGAGTTGTCCATCAAGAGGTCGACCAGGACCCATCGCCATCATCCCGGGCATCGGCGGGCCGCCGGGCATTCCCATCATTTGATGCGGTGGATAGCCGGCTGCAATTGTTGAGAGTACGCAAGGCTAGCTAACTATGCGTGAAAACAACGGAAATTATTGAAATTTTGAAAGGAAAATGAAACCTAAGAAAATGCAATCGGTTTTCGACCCCGAATTTCGATCCCCCGCACAAATAATCGCTTCAACAATTTTCCGATTAGAAGAAGCTGGCATCAATCCAAAAACCCCACCAACACCCAGGTGCTACAATTAGAAAGCTCAAGAACAGAACGCCGGGTTATGACATTGGATTTTGTTTCGCACGTTTCAAAAAAAGGGCTTGGAAGGATGAAAACATACCCATTTGGGCAACCATCATATTATGTTCATGCATTGGCCTCATTCCGTGTTGTAATGGTTGGACGTAATTAGGCGGTTCGACTTTTTCTTCGGCCGGTTTCTGGAAAATATGATGTAGTGCGGGAAATATGCGGCATGAATTAGACAACGAGTCGTCCAAGACCACAACTTGAGGCAATTTGTTCTTGAAATTCCCGACAACTAGACGCCTAGCCAGGTCTCAAGACGTTGGAAAAAGGTGCTTGGTTGCTATGGCGACGCCCTGCTGGAGCAAGCAGCAGATCGAAACTTTAGTTTACTAAAATTTTGACAAAATAAGCAATGCGTTATGACGAAACGTATTGGTAAATAGCAGCCGTGCTTTGAGGGGAAATCGATCAGTCCCCCATAGCATCGAGTGGACTCTGTTCGTGGGAATAGATAAGCCCCCGAGCAAGGGGCATTGTTTGAGCCATGAGGAGGCCAGGAATAACCTGGTATTCGCCTTATGCTTTTAGAAACTCAGACTCGTTGACTAAACGAGTCACTGATACAGGGTGTCCCAATAAAAAAGGTCACGCTGGCATTTCGCCATTTCAAATCCGATCGACCTGAAACTTGGAACAGAGCTGCGGAAGGGGATTTAAAATGTTCACAGAAACTTTCAGCCCGATCGGTACAGTAGTTTTCGAGTTATAACAAAAATACTGTTTTTTTCAACACTTTTTGCTTCATTTTTTCGGCTATCTTTTGGACTTTGCATAAATTACCATCAATTTCGGCCCAAAATCCAACATTCTTCTTAACATCGGGGATGATAATACCTCGTTAAAATTGCTTAAATAACCTATTTCCAAGACGAATTTTACGAAATAACAAATTTCCTGGGATAAAAAAGGGTCGGTGCTTGATTTTTGCCATACATTCCAAGGCTCAATTCCGGCGAAATCCAGGTTAAAAACGTAAAATAAAGTTTATTTTTGCTATAACTCGAAAACTACTGTATCGATCGGGCTGAAAGTTTCTGTGAACATTTTAAATCCCCTTCCGCAGCTCTGTTCCAAATTTCAAATCGATCGGATTTGAACTGACAAAATACCAGCGTGACCTTTTTTATTGGGACTTACCTTTTATTGGGTATATTCAAAAATATACCTTTTTGGCCCTGGACTTCTTGGGCGCTTTTGGTGCGGGTTTCGGCTTGGCCTGAGCTCCCGCTGCGAACTGAGCTGCTCCCGCCGGCGGTCCAGCGAACCTTGCATCGAAATACGGATTCCCGTTGTTCAAGTAGCCGAATGTTGTTGGCTCCATCGGGTTGAGTCCCTAAACAAAATAAAGTATCTAAACTGAATCCGCCATTGCGAAAAAAAAGTTAGCTGGAAGAGTTCGAATTCGGCACCGAAACACACCTGCATTCCCTTCGGATACTCCATTGGTAACGGTCTTCTGGGCCCTTGGTAATATTGCCGCGCGAATTGTGGATTTTGCCTCATATGCGCCTCCTGTAAAGGCGATGTTGACGACGGGCTCAAAACAATACCATAAACTGAGGAAACGCCGCGGGCATTTCGGTCGTTGAGTAGACCGGGAAATTCACGGACGGCATTTGGAAGTTCTGTGAATAAAGTTAAACTTTGAGCAAAAGATGATACCGGTGGAAAAGGATTGTGGCTTGGCGACTGCAGCGGTGGCTGAGGTTGAGCTTGTCCCTGTTGTTGTGGCATCATACCAGGATGATGGTACTAAGGAAAATCAAAAGCCAGGTTTGTGAATTCTTACCGGCCCACTCGGTCCCATCATAAACCGAGACATTTGGCCGGGCGGATAATGTCCAGGCGTAAGCTGACCAGTATTCATCGTACCAGGCTGTCCCGGGAGCATGGGCATCTAAATAACATTCGTTAAGCTGTAAAATGTACGTACCATTGGTTGCGGTCCGGGGTAAGGGCTCATCTTTGGATTTGCGTTGTTGGCGTTTTGGGCTGGAGAAGTTGGCTGTGCTGATGTAGTAGCTTGCGCTGAAAAATGAATGTTAATTTAGAAAGCTAGCATTCGAAACGTAAACCGCCACGTTTCAAGGCGCTCATCTCAGGAAATCAACAGCTTAAACCAGTGACTGGAAAACCAACTTTGTGGGGTACCCGTCATCCGCTGCATTGGAGAAGGATAACTCGGCGATGCAAACACTTCTTGTGCCAACGGTGATGGGGCGTGTAAAGGTGAAGGCTGTGGACGTGAATCTGAGACTGAGAAGTATGCTAATCAAATTAAAAGTACTTACATGGACTATGTGCTGCCGAATGGGCCGTATGTGAAGATCGAGGTCTGGGCAAGGGCTGCATCGGCATTTGGGGCATCGGCATGTTCGGCTGAAGGAGGCGAGAATTATTTGATTCAGTCGCCGCCAGCGCCCGGACTTCTTTGACAAAAGCACCGGGAAGCGCCGGCGGCGGCCTCCAACTGGAAGGTTTCCATTTTGATAAGGCGCCCGCCATTACGACACTTTCAGCGAGAAGAAAGAAAAGCTCGGCTAGCGCAAAATCAGCAGATGTATGGGTAAAGTTAGGCTATTCAAAAACGAAAGGCGTCTAGCAACAAAATCAAATAGCGTAGTTAAATACCTGACTACATTGCCGCATCATCGGAGGTGCCGGCATCATTTGTGGCGGACCCATAACGTTAGCACCGGCATTTTTCTGCGAGGGCCCGGGCGAATCTAAAAGATTTTTACTTGTCAAACTATGAATGACCCACGCATAGCATAACCGAGCGGTTGTTGATGTTGGCCCGGCATGGGCATTGGTCTTTGGGGATCATAGCCCTGAAAAAAAACGTGAAACTGCTTGGTAGATAAATTACCTGATAAGCTTGGGACATCATCGGGTTAAAATTCTGCATCATCCCTTGGTGCATCGACATATGTTGGCTTGATGCTGGCATATCCATCACATCGCCACCGCCGCTCATCCCAGGTTGTTGATATGACATATCCTAAAAGCACATAATTTTTGTTATTGTCAGCTACAGCAAAACGCAGCCATCTTTAACGTGCTAATTTTCGAAAAATTCAGGCCAAAATATGTTCCGCAACCTATGCAAACAATACGAGACCGGTTTTAAGTCAATAACTGACGGGCTATGCAGGGCCCCCCCGAGGTCGGGGGCGTTTCGTTATGGGCCCACTTTGTGAGTTTTTTGTTCCTTTTTTCCCAATTTCAAAGCATTTATTTTGCACTTCTTCCAAAAAAAGGCAACCAAAAAATTTTTCTCTATCGAATAGAATTTAGAAAAGAGAAAAGAAAGAGACTAGAGCCCTTTTGTATGGGAAAGGTAAAAACAGGCATTTCCCCAAAGGTCCAGAAGGCGGTAGCGAGCAATAATATACAGAACAAAAAAAATTCTCAAGAAGAATTTAAAAAGAAAAAGTGTAAAGAGCCCTTAAAATCTTAATAATCGTTTTAAAAAGAAAAAGGTGGAATCACAAAAATTCTGCAATGGGCTGGGTCCACTTTGAGTCAAAATACAACACAAATCCTATTAATTAACCGAATTTACCTGATAACTGTGTGATGGAAAACCCGCAGAGGTTGGCGATGCATATGAAGAATGAGGTTCCTTTTGTGGCGACGAAGTATTCGACGCCATCGCCGGGAACTGAAAAGAATCAATCTTTTTGAACAATCGATGGAGAAGAAAGTAGAGAAATTGATAGTGAACGGGAGAAGGGGTAGGAAATTTCTCCAGCCCACCATCTGAGTTGAGTCACGCTGATTCATAATAGTAGCGGGGGACCAGACGCGAAGCACAAATTTAGGCAAAATTTCTTTGCGGCAACTAATCTGTAGGCGAAAGTAAGAAAATGAAACGATATTCGAGCAGCTTCAGGTCAAATGCAGCAAGAAAAAAAAAGGATGAAAAGGACCAGGGGCCCACCGTTTTAGGCGTGTCTATTCAACGGAACCGTCCACTGATAAACCCCGAAATTTTCGCACTCTGGGCACGGCAAAATTCGATTGCCCTAATATTATCGGAGCGGCGAGTCGAAACAATGGAAAGCTCTATTCAAGGAATTCAAATTAGTCTTCAGAAAAAAACAATGGTCAGCTTTGTTTTACAAGGACGTAAAGTAATTTTATTCAAACAAAAACAGACTGAAAGTCCGACCCCTCCAAGGAAGTCGCGTTTTTAGGGGGAAATAGGGGCTGGGAGGGGGGTTTTGAGCAAATAGAAAAGTGAGCGGGCTCGTGTGTGGGGCTAGGGGCGAAAGGGGGCTCGATTTGTTATTATCATGCCGGATATATGGACGAGTTTCTCCGAAAAAGTTTTTGAGGGTGTAACGAAAGCACAAATTATGGGTGCGCTATTTTTTGAGCAGCCCGCGATATTGGTCAAGGGTTACTGGATTCATCGGGCTTGTTGTGCGTGAGAATAAAGCGTGATAATAAGAGAAAACTTGAAAAACAAAAAACTTGGGTAGAGTTCCGGGTGAAAATTGTCCTGTGGATGGACCGCTGCTAATTCCGCATGACCGTAAATTGGTGTGTTTCGTATTTTCGCATTTTGCAAAAATCTGTTGGCGTGGTATTTCCGCAATTGCGTTTGAATTATTGATTGCGACAATTCCCAACATTTTAAGTGGTGAAGTCAAAGGAATTGATGCTGGAAATCCTGAGAACGAGCTCTTTGCTCTTACATAGCCTTTCCGGCGAGTTCGCCCCTACGTACATTATCTGGTGTCATTTGTCTGGTATGTAACCTTTTACCGGAACTACGAGATTTTGGGGTACATCGGATCCCAAATCCTAAAAGTTTTCAAGTTAAAGTTTAAAAAAAACAATTTTCAGGCGAACCTGGAAGGACACCCCCGTACTTTCGGCACGCGTCAAATCTTTTTTTAAATGACACCCTCTCCAAAGTCCAATTTCATTTTTTACCAATTTTTTTATCTACGGTTTACAACGCTGTCCTTTCCAGATAATTAATTTTTAGCGAATCCCAAATTCTAATTTTATCGTGAAAGTAAGCCCGCTGATAGTGGGTCAAAAGCGTTCATTTCCGGAGATTGTTCAAAGAAAATCGAAATTACAGGATAGTGCGTCCAGTGGTGAGCTCTACACGCACTCCTGGCGCAAAAGTAGGGCATCGCAAAGTGGAAAGGAAAGGAGGGGTTGAGAAGAGACCCGGCAAAAAATGAGCATATGTGGCTTTGGGGAGAGCGAGAGGAGGCTGACTGCGGGAACAACGAAGGAAGAAACGCAGGAGGGATGGGATTCAAGGCGGCTTCGGGAAAGAGATAAGATCCGGTTTATTGCAACAGTTGGAATCGAGCCCTGGCTGCTTGCTGCTGCATACAGCCGCCCCCCTGTCCTCCTGCTCTGCCCTTATGCGATTTGTGGGAATTTCTGGCCCTCCTGCCGCGAATCGGTAATGCATTCGGGTTGACGATAAATAATAGATCGACACACCCCGGGCGGTCTACCCCCCTCTTTATCCGAACGCTCTAGCGTTAAATTGGGCTGTTCAAAATTAGTTTTTCGCCGAGATATTAGTGCTCTTCAGGGTTTATATGCAGTGCAGATGCGCGTCAAAAATGCGCAAAAGTTACAAGAATCAACAAAGCTTATATCTTATCTAATTAAAACATGAAAGAACAAAAAACGGCTCCACGAGATTTTTCGACTAAAGAACAAATATGTGAGGAACTTTTGCGTTCAAAATGGTGCGATCAGCTTCGAAAATTGGCTGGGAACGGTTGAAAAAGAGCAATTGGTTACCGTGTAGCGCCCTTGTAGGTATTTATTTAGACGCATAAGCCGACTTCCGCAGAGTGATTAGGGGGGAATAGAAAGACGCAGGCGTTCATAGGAGTACTCGTTCAGGCTTCGAACGTGCGCTTTTAGGATATTGGTCAGCAGAATTACCATGATTAAATGAATAATTTAGATTGGGAGTATTTACGAAATTTAAGCGACTTGCGAGGCATGGTTTTCGTAGTTTTTGGCGAACACCGACCAGTCAGCGACAAAATCGGGGCCAAGTCAGGGCTCGAGACGATTAACATGATTACAGGATTGACTGCAAAATGGTTGAGGTATTTGGGTGCGAGATGTATGGGATGGGTGAGACGGGCCAATCGATCAATAAAGAAAGGGGCGTAGGAGCAGAGTGTTTGGCAAAGGCATTACCATGGCCCACAGCATCGCCGCCACCACTAGGCCACTCCCATCCCTTTAGCCTACCAAACAAAACATACAAACACGCACCATTTTTGGTTGCTTATGGGAAATATAGCATAGCTTAGAAAATTTATGTTTCTCTGGCAAAAAAAGCTTTAAAGGGACTAGCAAGGCTCTAACTAAATTGTCTACCTGTTTCTATACCACGTTTACTTTTTTCCCTCAAACTTTGAATAGACCCTTCTTCCCTTGGTGTTATAGCTTAAAGGAGAAATAAACGCCGAAATCGCGAACAACAAAAGCGTTTCTCACTCGAGCAAAGTATAGATTCCTTCCTCAACCAACACTTTTTCTACTGGAATAAATTAGGGGAGCACGTCTGACCCGCATAATTGTTTTTATCGGGGGATGTGTAGTTGCTTGTAGTTCGTTGTTTATCAGGTTAATATTAATGCCAGACAATCAATTAGATTTAGACTCCCGGCCCGATGCCCGAAATTTTGAGGCGTGGCTCTCTTCGCTGAGGCATGACAATTACATTCTTTTTATTAGTCGTTTTTCTCGTTGTTTCATACATCATATGGTATTTTTCGGTTGGTTGGTTGGTACAAAATATATTTTGTGTGTATGTGTTGAGATGGTGATCCAGGTGTTGCGCATCGACCCGATCCCTCCTCTACCCACTTCCCGCCCATTTTCGGGCAACCCCCGCCAACGCCGCGCCTGTTTGAAAACGGTCCTCCTCGAAAGGCATTTAGATCTTTTTCAATGAGAAACGGGATGTAGGGCTATATTGATGGATTACCGGCCGTGTGAAAATGTCGAAAAATGTCGAAAATGGTATTATGATTTTGATTTTTTGTATCCAGTTTTCATCCATTAAATCGAATATCCGTATTGAAAGAGTATAAATGTAATAAATTTTTCGATATTAGTTATAAAACGCAGAAATTTTCGCGGCACTCTGGGTTCCATAAGGCTTCAATCAAGCACAAGGTACTAAAACAATTTCCCGCTATCGTAGCAACTATTTTTTGTCAATGTTGAAAACTAATTAATAAGCTAATCAATGATCAATATTCAACACGCTCTGTTATATTAGATCAGTTAAGCGAAGCACGCTCAAAAACTCCAATCAGCAAAGGGCATAACGATTTTTTTAATTCAGTTTAACCAAACAAAACATCACAACGAGCCTTGGAAAACTTCGACATTGCAAAAGTACTGGAATATTAGTAATTATCATAACGATAAAGCACCTAACTATGCCACGTTTGTGGTTTTTGGCTTTGAGCCGGGGAATCACGACAATATAGGAAAAGGGCCGCCGTACGGCAGGTTGTCCCACGCTCGTGCAGGAGGTATCAGCTGGTTCGATCTTGGCTCCCCCAAAAACTTGAGAGAGAAAGGGGGTTCCGAACACCTCTAGAGACAGCTGATCGATCGTCTCGATAGGACAAGTGTTCGGCTTTTACCCACCAAAAAAAACCAAAAGTCGTAAAACTTGGCCACCACCTTGGACCGACGGATCGGTTGTTTCTTGGTATAGAGCTACCGGATAAATATGCAATTTAAGAGACCGACCGGCATAGCAATCAGCAGCAAATTTTGTACCAAATCCACTGACACCAAGAGAAAATTATAGGGAATTCGTGTTTATTCATCGCAACCAGAAATTATCAGAAAGTGCCTCCACGTACGTACAAATTACCCCATTTCCTGTGGGGAGAAAAGCGACAGCAAGTAGCCGTCCGAGGAAGAGCAATTGGCGAATTGATTTCAGGAATAACATTGAAATATTTTGGTAGGAGGCGAAATTGGGAGGAAAGTGAGTCATGCAAAGGAGAGCATAGAAGGTACCTACCGTAAGCGCACGTTTGAATCGCCACATGATATGTCGAGGGAATATGCAACAGGTTTTAGGAATAATCCATAAAGGGTAAAATGGCTTCGGATGTGGCCCCCCAACCCTTCGACAGCCTAACGATTGCTTTTCCGTGGCCCACTTCGGAGGGGGGGAAGACCTACAATTTGGCCCCTCCCCCCAAAAATCTGTCAAAACAAAACTTGGTCTGGAAGCCTTCAATCCTCTTTTTGGGGCCAAGGAATTGGGATGTGGCAACGTGACTCGTGAGATCTTATTAATCTTGAAGGAGGGTAGTGAATGAAATGTCGTGTGCACGAAATGTAAAGAGGAGAAAGAGGAAAGACGAATGAGGCGTGAACTAGCAAAGGGATTAACTGGCCACTCGATAGCATTATTGCTCTGTGTCATCCTCTCGTTCTCACCACTCTACATAGTCCCGAAAAAACCAATTATGGCATTTTTATTTTGTTGTTTTGTGCAATAGAGAGACATATTTCGGATGGTCAGGATGGGGTTGCTGTGAATTTTTTTTTGTTGCCCGGAAAAAGAGCCGGAAAGGCCGGCTGGTGGCCTTGAGACTGCAATTAAGTAAGAGTTTGTCGATTGGAGGGGAGCCATGGCGGGGAGAGGGCACTTTTGGACCAACAGATTATTTTCGTTCCGTTTCATTCCGCAAAAATCACGATGCCTCGCCGGTTTTTCATAAAATTATTAAGGTAAGAGGGCGCCAACCAGAAGGGAAGCTAGGGTCATTTATGTTTAACGACGAAACATGTGGTGACTATTTTTAGCGCCAAAAATTCGGTTAATGTTATTGCTTGAAAGGCGAAAAAAATCTATGGTGTTATTAATTAACCCTTGTGGCCGGCCGCTTAATAGAAAATAGTTTTTCTCGAATCTTCGGAAGGTCTGAAAACGAAGGTATTTTGAAAAGAAAAGCGGAGAAAAACCAGACTTCCGCGCAACAAAGCCACAAACCACAAAATTTAATTAAGATAATGAAAAGTGATGATGAAAACCACAAAATAATGAAAATACCGAGTTTGAGGGCAGTTCCGAAAAGGCAAGGCCAGGATGTGAGCTTGAAAATAGCCACATAAATGGAAAGATTCAACAAGGAGGTTGAGATTTTAGGAGATAGTGCAGTATTGCTGAATTCATCACCTGGTTACGGTAAGTGCGGAGAAGAACAAGGAGTCTATATATAAGCGCTTGAAAATTGACTTTTGAAAGTGATGTTAGCGGATCATAGTGTCAGGAATCGGTGTGAGAGTGGGGATTGTCGGACTAGTGGGCACCATCTGTCCCGCGCACCAAGAGAGAAAAAGGAGAGGGAGAGAGAGAGAGAGAGAGAGAGAGAGAGAGAGAGAGAGAGAGAGAGACGGGGATGCAAATTCGTGTGGTCGGCTGTGGATAGCAGTGAGAGAGTACAGAGTCAGAGATATATAGTAGAAGAAGAGACTAGCTGAACAGGACCATAGCCCTTCCAATCCGACCACCACTAGGGTCTCCTCAGTCTTCCTAGGAAATCGATCGATTTCCACAGCCTGTCCCTTCTTCACCACCTCCCGATCGCCCTGAGAGGCCATTCTTCGCCTCGGGGCGTGCGCACGAACATTCACACACATACAAACATACAAACAAACAGACAGACACACATACAGTTCGCCCACAATTCTTCGCTGCATGCTGGGGCAGCTGGACGGGCGAACGAACCCGTTTCGTTCCCGGCCCAGGCCAACGACCGGTCGGCGATGGGCTGACCTGTCCGCCGCCGTTGTTGAGCAAGGAAGCGGGAACTATCAAAAACTCGCATCCAGACAAGTCAATCCATCGGGCAATTGGATGGTGGCAATGATATCCGGACTATGGATTTTGAGCTCGGGGTGTGAAAGAAGAAGTATCGGGACTGACAATTGTGAGATGGACTTTGTCATGACAGTCAATCAAAAGGGGACGTTATGAAAAAAGAGCGAGAGAGATAAAGAGAGATAGAGAGAGCAAGATAGAGAGAGAGGGAGAGAAAGATAAAGCGAGAAAGGGGTGTTACTCTACCTACAATGGCCCGTTGCCGGATACCGAGAGACTTTGGAACAAATTTAACAGTGCAAGCTGTAAGTCCGATTGCAAGAACGGTGCTTTTCAGCTATAAGACATTTTTGAATAAATAGCAAACTTTTATTTCTGTCCTAAAAACGCTGTTCCAATCATGTTAAAAATGCTAATCCAAGACCATGCACCACCAGGAAATTGGTCCCGAAAATTGTAGCCCCAGCTCGACTTTTTTGGTTAAAAAATCACTTGCAATGGATACAACCTGGGTGAAAACAGAATCCAGACGCTTATAGGTTGTAAGTTATCGCTAGTAAACCGACTCCGTGCCTTGAGACAAAAGCAATGCATTCCAAATCGGCATAGATGCGCGCGTGTCCAGCCCGTTTGTGAGCGCAAATAAATTCCTTGTGTGGCCATTTCAAAAAAAAACATCTCGAAAAGGCAATCAAGTTAAGTGGTGGTCAATGGGTTATTGGAAAGGAGAGGGGCGAAAAGCAATACCACCGGAGTAGAACTGACGATTCTCTCTGTAATTCCCCTGTATTCAGCTATAATGACAAAAAAATTGGTGAAAAAGTTTTGGTGGTTAATCCCGTGGGTTGACTTGTTGTGAGAGGAAAGTGCTTTCCCCCTCCTTCGTTCCCCTCAATTCCCAAAGACGAGCATTGGCCGTTGGTTGGAAAGAACCGGTTTTTATGGCGCCATTAATTGAACAATCAAATCCCTCGCCCCGTAGCGGCTTGTCGACAGATCCCATCGATAGCTTCTATTCTACAAATAGCTCAATACCGAAGGCATACACATAATTGGCGATTATATTTTGGGGGGTGCGGGCGAATCTGTTTTTCGAGTATGGAATGGGTGGATGGGAAGTATTGGAGAGCACGAGCCACCCATATCTATCCCGTTTCTTTAACCGATTCGATCCGTGCCGCCCGAAGCAACAAATCTTGGTCGATATCTTGCGGTGACTCCATTTGGGTAGTTTATGTGAGAGCGGAAGTTGAAACTAATCCTATGTTAAAGGCATCCGTTTTTGAGATCGAGAACATCTAACAAGGAGGGGTTTTTAGGCGATATTGTAGTTTTGCGAGGTGAGGAGTTCATCTGATAGAGCTTGAGATTCTAGAAAATTTTACTTTGAACAACTACTGAATAACAACAACCTTCGGGAAAAAGTTACATTTTGTAAACCGCGGCCAGAGAAAATTTGCGCCAAGACCGAAGTCGTGAGCAATTTATACTTTGAAGGGGGTGGTTCCGAGTTTCAAGCTCTATCGAATGAGCTAGATCATACATACCATAAAACATTTTTGTAAAAGAATTATCTTCCAACGTTAGAAATCCAAATAATTTGTGCCATTTATGCAGCACCATACGATCTCCTTGGAAGCCAAGGTTCAAGATGCACGTATACACCTATGAACACCTGCGTGTCACTTCTTAAGGAGCTGCAACTCACTGGACGTGTGCTTTCCCCTAAAAAGTACTGATATTCAATGATTTTCAGTTTTGGAGGGTTTTAGGAACTCTCCATGAACAAAGTTGAAAACTAACAAGTTGCGTTCCGGTTACACCGTATTACGGTATTTCCTCTAATAAAAGTTCGGAGCCAATTTTTAGCCACTTAGAAAAGGGGCGGGCCCGTAAATGTATATCTTTTGTATGGAAATATATTCTTTATTTTGAGTGAGTATGCCGATTTTCAGTAGTTCAAATCTGCCCAACATCACCAAGGTGTACAGTGTTTTACAAGCTTATATAGAAGCAATTTTCGCATTTTCTAAGCTTCGATGTATTTTTGACAAAAAAATTCATTCTAAGGGTTAGATTGGAAGGCAATACGCGATGTCAGTAAGGTAAATCTACCGATCATGGTATCATCACAGTTTCTGAAATAGCTATTCAGCCTTCTAAGTTACAAAATTACGTTTCAAGCCCAGCGGATACTGAAGTTACTCCCATTCCAAGCCATCACAAGACAAAGCCCTGATGCACCACTGCTGTTTACAGCACCTCCAGATGGCCTGATGACTTCTCAGTGTTCCTTTAATCCGTAAATGGTCCTCCTATGCCCGTAACTTGTAATTATCCGTCGTGTGGCTCAGCATGATCCTGGAAAAGAAGGCCGCGACGCACCTCCTTGCGCCGCGCATTCAAAAGGCATTACTGAAAGGTACTCGGATCCATTCCCCAGTACGTTTCACACCTTTTATAACTGTTATCCAACATAATTTTGAGCAGTAGTCGGTTGTAAATATCGGAAAATTCGATACTTCATAAGCTATTCTGGCATTTAAAGCTAACGAATAAGACAGACTTTTAATATGCTTTTTTTTTTGTAATTTTTTTAATAGGTAAACAAATACATTAGAGCCGCCATACAAAGATACATACAAAGCCGTTCATAGGTGCATTATGGTAATGACTGAAATAACTCGCGTCTCACCCTTTGCGCGAGTCAAAATACAAGTCGGTGATTTCAAAATCTCATGATTCAATATCGAACAATATTTCTTGATGTTAAAAAATATTTAATGGTTATGACTAGTGCTCAAATATTATATTATTTATGATTTTGCAGGTGCTTGATGAACGACATACTAACACGGCGGCCTTATACTCGAAGATCAGCCTTCGAAGGCATGGTCCCGCGACAGAAAAAAGAATGGGCCTTCGTCGTCATCAATTTTTGCTATTGGGTGGGCAATAACGATGAAAAATTATGTGAATCAATGAATTATAGGCACTCGGCTTCACGTCGGTTATTCTCAGCATGTGGATTATGCGCGAGAGAGATCAATTTGTCGAATTAATCCCAATTGGCTTTGCTCCGAACAGTTGTGCAGGCTTTTTATTATGTTCTGGTAAGGAAAAAACATATAATTGATTATTTTGTTAGGACTCGTTATCATGGCGCTAGCTATTATGGCTATCTATGCTAATTATTTGAAGAGTAAACGGATGATGGCATCGGTATGTGTCAATTTTTAAACGCAAAGTGTAAACCTTCAGTACTGCCTGGGCATCGGTTTCTTGGTTTTGATCCAAATCGCCATCGGCACGATCAGCACTTTTACTCGGGTATTTCTATTTCTGAAAGCCTATACAATAAAATGCCCCTAGGACGATTCCAAACTACGCGACGACATGAAGCGGTACATCAATTTAACTCGAATTACGACAATCAACAGTGAAGCCATTAATGTGACGTTGTCGTGGAATTATTTGCAAAAAAGTGTAAGTAATAAAGATGAGTTTCTGAGGGTTTAATTTTAGCTACATTGCTGTGGAATTGATGGTTATGAAGATTGGTACTACAATGCACGATGGCCAACCGGGCAATTTGTGCCAGATTCATGCTGTGATGAAAGCTTCTTCGACTTTCGGGAATCGGATTACCGTGGCTGCGGGCGACTCGCGTTTCAGGATTATGTCTACAAAAATGTACGTATCCACCTCAATCAATCAGAGTCAATTCCTCAGGGTTGCCTTGAACCCTTCCGAAGCTGGCTTTGGTTTAATCAGCACGTCGTTGCCGGATTTTGTTTGTTTGCTTTAATCGTAGAGGTACGTCAGAATTTAGTTAATACTATATAATTTTATATATTTCCTATTTAGATATTTTGCCTGCCGCTCGGAATTTGGATCTGCAGGGAGGTTTGGGTGATGAAAGATTGGCAGCAACGGCAGGGATCTAGAGTCGGAAATGCACGATCGATTTCAGGTAGAGGGTGAACCGTATGTATTCAATATACCACGAGTTTAGAAACGGTGGCTGGTGGTCAGGAGCCGCGAATCGATGATTCGGGAATCCCACTTGTTCAGCCGCCGACGCACCCGGTAGGTACTTTACTACCTTGATCCAGGAAACACGGACACCATCCAAATCTTCTTATTCATCTTATTCTTTAATCTTATCCATCTTCCGGGGTCTAAATCACGGCGAAAACACATTAAAATAACAAAATTCAGACCAGATGACACCGACATAGCCAAACGCTCAACCCATCTGCTCAGGAACCCACCAATCTCTACGCATTTTCACTTACGCCATGTGATATTGAAATGTGCTAATATGTGCCAAAGAATAATAATGAACAGTCAGCTGTTTACAACTGAAGTCCGTTTTCGAGAAGAACTATCTTAAACCGATAAAACAAGGAAATAAGTATAGAAAGTGAGGACGCACTGTATCAGAAGTTTTATAATAAAAAGTAAATTCTAACGGATATGGAAGCTGTTCCGTTTTTATTTTTTTTGTTGCTAGTTGTTTACTTGCTTTTGTAGCTGCTCCGAAGCAGTCGGATAGATATGGGGAGGTTTGCTAAAAGGCACCCCGTGTGGCCCACCGAAACGCGCTCCACCTGGTCCTACCCAAAAGCATATCCTCAGGCCGCCGCCGGGGCCAGCTAGTAATACAAAGCGATCATTGGCTCAAATATTTTCTGGAAGGGAAGGGGGGGCCATGCTGCTAAATTTCGCCAATCCATTTTTTTTGTAACAATAGAGCTTCTAGGCTGATTTACTTCTTGTTTTTTTTGGACAACATTTTAGTTCTACAGTCATAGATTCATCTCTCTTTGGGTCCCGGCGCGAAACCCCGGCAACGATCTTCATTCCGATCCCTTCAAACCAGCTGACTTTCTGATTAGGCCATGTATTTCGATCCCCAAGAAAACAAAAATTACTCTACTTGTCCCTACAACATCTCACAATTTGCTCTGTAGATCACGCTTTAGAGATGGTAGAACCGCTAGACGATCTATTCTCGCATGGGAGAGAGTTCATTGGCGATGAAGAGGTATTTAACATGCTTCCCGTTTATCATTTTTCTTTTAGGTCTTTGAGATCAACGATTTCACGGTCGTCACGCAGCTCGAGCAGTTTACAGTAGCGGTTGAGAATATACTACATGAATGGGAACTTTCCAGCAAGGAATTGAAATATCCTCCGGCAAAAATTGGAAAGGTTTGTATATTATTTTGCCTATTCAGGTTTAGGTCGTTTCCTGGGAATCGAAAGAAGAGGAGATCAAATTTGGCTCGGACAATATTCTGAAGATGAAGCATGTTTGGCCTGTCTACGAAGAAGGTCTCGAGGTTGGTTGAATGGAGCACGTTTTTTCCAACGGGAAGTTCTTTCAGGTTGCTAGTACCGAGACGAAGGCCTCTGACAACGCCTATCTTTCTGCCCAAGCAAAGAGCCTGATGTCTTTCGATTTGGATTTTTATCCAAAAGACAACATTGTGGCAATGGTATCCGTTTTAAAAAGATGTACTTCCTTTATAGTTCGGCGTCACCGAATATATCGTTATTCAACCTGGGCGCGACAAGTTGGATCGAATAGTTACGGAAGACCAGAAGAATATGATTATTTCCGGGATCCAAACGGCCGCCTCAAGTTGTTTTTGGTAACATCTTTGTGCGATTTTTAAAGCGTTCTTTTTAGCGAGCTGCCAATTTTCGTTCAATACGGCAAGCAGCACCTTGCTATGTATTTTGGAGCGCTATGTACAAAGTCCACTATGACGAATTTTGAGGTATACTTTACAAGTGGCTTATAAGTTTTAGGGTGCTGTGATCAAGGCCTATGATGCGAGATATGGTAGACTCGACGGGCTCGCTGAGCTGTTCCGCGAGAAAGTGGTGAGACTTTCTGGCGCCTGTTTTTACGCTCCAAGCTATCTCATTCTCGTCATTTTTCAGAGCTGCCCAGTACCATCACTAGAAGCTGAGGATTTGAGGGTTTCTGTTCAACTGCAAGTTGCTTACACGGTTGGTTTTGCGTCCGCTTACAATTACGCATTACTCGATTTTTAGCCTTATTCCGATGACGATCTTACTCCAAAAAACCAGCTTTTCTTCGATATTTCCGATGTTCCATTCGGCTCTTCTGAAACGGTGATTGAGTAAGTTCCGCTTCTTGGATTTGGACGCTCTTTAGAAATTTCACGCTTCTCGCCACCTGGCCGAACCAGAAGGAAGGGTTGATACATGAAAGCCAGGTATTTATTTTAAGCTATTCGTTGGATATAAATTTCTTTTTAGAACTATTCCGATTTGGACCCTGTGCATGCATTTGCTTGGGCGGGAATGACGGATTTTGTCAACGGTGGCGGTTACTTGAGTAGGATATTCTTTATTTTCCATATGGTTTTTAGGCGATTGCCTTGAGGCGTTGCTAAAAGTTGCACACTCTCCGATGAGCGAACGGAATGCTTACGAACTGTTGGCATTGGATAGCTTCTTGGATAAGGAAGGTGAGCTCCGCCATCCCGTTTGAGCTTTCGTTCAGCTAGACGCGTCATGGAGTATAACAATCGAAAGGCTGAAGAACATGGTCATGACTTTCCGCTTAAAGAGGTAAGACAATATATTTTTCCCTCTAACGATCCTCTCAGGAGGTCATTTCCACATGGCTGAAGCGGATTCTTCCCTTCGAGGATGAGGACTATAGAAGCGAGACGGAGATAAAGGTTTGTCGTTGCATTTCCTATGCAAAGTAGCCTGTTGTAGGATCCACTATCTGCGGTAAAAGCTGCGCCGCCCGAATCGAATGCAGCCCGTCTAGGCGATATTTTTCTCCAAGCCTTGGCCGAGAGAATCTATCCTGCAACCGCCTTTGCTGACGTAAATCTGAATTTCTTTTTTACATGTTATTTAGTTGTGGCAAAAATTCGTCAACGAGTTGACGAGATATCAGGACTCCACATCTTCGCTTCTTAGGTTTAATCATATTAGCGATTGCATATCGCGACGTTTAGTCGATCTTTGACAGAACATCCCGATTTCTCTTCCTGTTTATTGCACCAGAAGCTCCAGATGCTTTGGTGTTGCTTTGCGGCGAAACGGAAAAGGGCAGAGATGGTCAAAAACCTTCGGGTCGCGCTAGATGATGATGGTACTGTTTTGATTTGGCCAGTTGATAACCATTTCAGATGAGTTCTTTGATGCCAGCTCTGAACTTGGAACCAGCCCTTCCAAGGTATCTCATCGAAACGACAAGACTGACGGAGATGTAAGTATGCTGTGTTTGAAGAAGAAATGGATTCTTAGAGTTCTGCAGCTCGCGGTCGTCGTCATGTCCTGGCGGGTGATTTCTCTCTACGTGACTTCCCGGATCGTGCGATCTACGAACCGTTTACCCAAGTATGTGATTTCTCCAGTACACCCCTAGCTTCGTGTTTATAGGAAAGGCTACCAATGGCCGAGGACGATTTCGAGGCTCATGAACAATATCTATCGCAGCTAGAAGAAGGAGAACAACGTACTGAAGCGCAGATGGAGATGTTACTAAGTGACATGCAGGTCCGTTTTGTCTCGTTGCATGAAGGGCGAACCGTTTTGTAAACCCAAAACCTGGGAACGTCTAATCAAACTTCGTTCTTTTCAGGCGTTCAAGGCTGCGAATCCCGGATGTTGCTTCGAAGATTTTTTGCAGTGGCATTCACCGAAGGACATTGTTTCGGATAAAGAAGGTGGCGCGTTGGATCTAGTTTTTTAACGGTTGTTTAGAATTGCCTGAAGCCTCGGAGCGAATGAGTACGCCAGGTAACGCATGGTTGCTGGCGTGGGAAAAAGCCGAACCATTAGCATGCGCGCTTCAGGACCCGATATTTGACTATGAGAAAATATCCGAACAGGTTTACTGATTCATCTAATGGTTATCAGTGGCGTTCAGATACTCTACTGGTTGGCCACGCGAACATGCGCTGAGTTCTGCAGTCTGCTACACCCGATCGGATTTACCGAGGCGGCTAGAAAGCTGTGCCGGGAAGGTACCAAACTTGCTCCTCCTTTCACATGAATTGAAACACGTTTAGCTGACGGTGTGGAGGGGCTGATTGACACCTCTACTTTAATTGATGCTACAGCGCGTGCTTGTAAATCGAATACACGTGACGATTACCTCGATGCATTGCGTGAAATTCGCAGAGTGGAAAAAGAAGTGCTGCGCTACCAGGCCGTATATAATATGTTGGAAAGCGGATTGGTAATTAGCCTTCGTTTCAAAATTACTTTTTTAGGCCCCCGCTGCGGATGAGGCTGATTTGAAGCAGTTTGTGCTGGATTTGTTGAAGAATGAAAAGTTGCGCGACGAAGAAAATAGGTACGAAAGCAAATTACGTTATGACCTGTGTTTAGCGGCAGTCTTGATCCTTGCCTGTTTCAAAGCGGTGTGCCAATTATTGGTGGCCCGAATGGAGCTCTTGGACAAGCAATCAAGGATGTCATCCTATCCAAGGAAAATGCCGATCGCGTGTCAACGATGTTGGTTTAATTCCTTAGACAGTATCGCCGAGTTTTTAGACGCAATTACGTGTTCCATTGGTTGGTTCCACGCCCCGACGAAGGCTCAAGACTGTGTCCGCAGCGGATGTACGCCTCAACGTCCCGTGATGAATTTAGATTATCTGGTTCTTTCACTCGTGACATTATCTTTTCGTAAACTTCAGATTCTGTGAATTGAATGTTTTTATCATCGGTGTGCTGTGCCTTTTGTGGCAATTGGTCATTGTCGTTTGATATCCAGTCAGTGCTTTGCTTGTGATTACATTTTTGCATAAATTTCTCGAGGATTTTTGCTTGTTGTAAAGATGATGGAGTCTGAGGAATGAGAGCAACTTTCAATTTTTCCTTGCAAGCATATTCGATCTTCACTTTTGCCGCAAGAATATCAGGGATACCGTGACAATAATTCAAGTTAGGATTTACATATTCAGAGATTCGGGCAGGAGCGCCGTGTGGGCAGGAGCCGCGGAATGCGAATAAAGCGATGCGGACACGCATAAGTGAGTAATGGAGGCATGAGAGCCACATGTGGTGTGGGTCATCGAGAATATTTCTGCCAATGGGTGTGGGGCACAGACGGACAAGTGGCCATGGTCAAGGCCCTACTCGACTGGAACCACCACTGATTTTGTTAGTTAATCCATGATATCGGGGTTGTGCATGGATGCTAATTTCTCGTCCATCAACCCTGGAGACACATTTGGTAAGCGGAAGAGGGCGTGGGTACTCAGCTGGAAAAACAATAATTATTTTCAGAAGTAGGCCGATGAGTGGAGCCTTCTATTGGTGTAGGGGCCCCAAAGAAATTTGCGGATCCGGTGAAACCATTGAGTTGGCACTGAAAAGAAAATGCGTCAGAACTGTGATGTCAGATATGAGCGTAAATCCACGCTGGCGGCCCGATACTTGCGGCCACGACAATTTCGGCCCCGACAGTTCCTTCCCGAAAATTCATTTGTATGTTTTTAATGGACGTTTTGATGGACGGGATCTATTCCAAAATGTAAAGATTTATCGAATAAGCTGGGACAGAGTAACTGCTTGTTGCGGAGTTTTTTTTTTAATTTATAAAGGGACCAGCTGACCCCTGGCACCTGGTATGATCAGCTGAAAGTAAGAAGCAACGCCCCCCCCGCATCCACCTCTACTCTACCTTCTATTCCCCCGACTGCATAACCCGAGCATAGGCTTGCTTCCGGTGCCGGGGAGCATCTTCAAATATTGGGTCTGCCATTTGAGAATCACCTCCCCCCTCGGCCAAGGGGAGGAAAGGCCCCGCCCATCCTGAGACCACTACTACAGTAGCCCTTTCTCCCCTCAACCACCCGGTAGCCCTCTCCATCCAGTTCAATGGGAAGAGCCAAGTAGGCCATTGGGCCTCCTTGGCCTCTATCCTAAATCTGGCTAATCCACTTTAGCGGTCAGATTATATGAAATTTATCTGTTTTTACCTTTTTTTGGTGGGTACCTTGTTAGGACGTATATGTCGTTTGCGGGGTTTTGGTTGCATCTGTTAATTCACGGGTTATCTTTATCAAACGCGTATCCCTAGCTCTTTGCTCATAAATTAAGAATTCGTGCTATGCGCGTGGGGGAGAGGCTTCCACGATTTGGAAGCTTTGGCATAGTAACTGAAGGGCAAAACTCATCCTTTTTGCACGTCTCTTCCGGAAAGCAACGTTTTGATGTGGCTTTTCGCATCTAAACTACTTACAGTTTAAAACAACTTCTTTACTAACTAAATGATAACTTCGATCTGTTTACTATAGTATTCATTGTACTACGCGTTTTATCCTCTAAATAGATGGTTGCCAAAGCCGGATTCCTGATCGACTCTCTACTTCGAGATACAGCCGAAACCTCCGAACAAATGCCGCCACTTTCCGACGATGCCATCCGGTACGCCTGATCATAAATTCACCCGCTTCTCGTCCCCTTCAAAGAACGCTTTCAAACAGATTCCCTAATTATTTTCCCATTCCCAACTTTTGTCACCCATTTCAAGCGGGGTGTGAACAATAAGAAAAATCTATTTTCTCTAAGTTGGCTTTAAAAACAGATATTTAGAAGTGAGGAATTGACAAAAGCAGAAATGTTCGGGCAGCCGCCTTCCGAATTGGCAAGTGATATCTTTTGCGATTTCTATTATCTGGTAGGAAGAGGAGGAAAAGCCTACCGTATCACCTCTGGAGAAGATCGTGGCTACAATAATGAAGCGTCAAACGGGAGAGCAGAGTTCCGCACCACAACCTTTACAAGCATCACCGTTCTTTCCATTGTTACAGGTACCGATTCCTAAAAAAGTTGTACTTGTATGCGCATGTGCATGTGCATGACTATACAAATATCATACATTACAAAAACTGCTAATTCCCCCTAAAATTAAGCCTTAAAGAAGGCGAATTTCGAATTTAACTTATTAAAGGGACTTGTAAGTCAGACATCAGCATTGAATTTTCATTAGCTTTTCGCCTGACTTTTGCAGATTATAAAGGCGGAAAGTGGTTGAGAAGCGGGGCTGAGGGGCGAATTTCCCTCATGAATGTTTCACGGGCTGTCGTGGAGGTGTGAAGGGCCCAAGGCAATTGGGCCATTATATCTCACTCGGATGGGCCTGAAAACAATAGAGAGTGCCCAGCCTTTCACCGCCACCCAAAAGCTTCAAACCGAGGGTGGCTATCTCGGAGACTTTGCTTTTTGAAGCATTAGCGATAGCTTGGAATATTTTTAATGAAGAAAATTAGCAGACTAAAGATATACCACTCCGACAATTTACACCACCAATTTATCTATCTGCCAATTCCCGCAAAAAGTGTATGACCTACCGTATTCGTGCTTACTTGTAAAACTTTTACCGAAATCGTTACGTAAGTAAGAGATTCTTACAGAAAAACCGAGCACACAAACATGAGCTTTCCTGCTCCATTTAAGAAACTACACAGATTATTTTTTACATAATAAATTTAATAAAAATTTAGCGACTGCCCGCGTCACCCCTCGACATGTATCTAGCCAAAATGCAACTACTACAGAAGACATTCTTTCAACAACATACCCTCCAAACGGCCCTGAATGCTCGTACTCCACCCAGATTACTGCCTGGACATCCAAGACTTCCAATGAAAGGTAATCAGCCTTTGATATGTTTGCATACGGGGGGGTGGTAATGTGGTAGGTATTGAGAGATATTGGAGGACCGTAATCCCTGCAAACACAAAGGTAGTCTTCGAGGGGGATGCTCAAAGGGATAGCCATGTGCTACCAGCTGTCTTATTGTGCAATCGACCGGATTCAACCCGGAAGATATACACCTCGGGAGGTAGAAAGGGAGATTACGGTAATGTACCCGGGTATTAGAATCTATTACCCATAGGTTAAATGCATTTTTTTGGTAACGCAAAATCTTTGCTTCGGGATGTTGAGATTATCTGAATAAATCGAAAAGAAGCTAGCGATCTAGTTTCGATCGGAGGCTTTGCAAAAAAGCGAAATTGGTTAAGTTATGTAAAATTGGCGAAAAGTAAACCAATTATGTTATGTTAATTAACCTGGGTTGTCCTGATGATTTGATACTCAAACTCCAATTTGTTTTTTTTCCAGCAACCGCGGGCCGTCGTCAATCCATCCCAGAATCTGGTGCTGAAGGCCCTAGTCGAGGCAATATCAAAAAATATCGATGTGATATCTGCGAAAAAACCTTCAGCCGCAGCAATACTCTGGTCACCCATAAGGTGAGCCTAATTCTTGCATGCCATCTATCCGGACAAATCTTGCATGCATCCAGACAAATGGTCCCAGGCTGTTCATAAGCAATTTGTCACCTATCCTCATCCCTTCCCTCTTTCTCCCCTTCTTCTCATGCTCAATCCGATGTCCCTAGCCCACCTGTTGTCTTTACTGACGTTGAGGGGATGGGGGTTATGGTTGCGTGTGTAGGCGACATGTGTTGATAAGTCGAATGCACCGGAAACGGCATAATTACCGCCCGATCGAGGGGTGTAGGGGGTGGGAAACATTTCCCCAATAATCACCTTCTGCTCTCCCCCCACGAGATACTAGATCGATGTCCCGATTGCGCAAACGGATGTACAATTAGCGGGTGGGTGTGTAAACACATGGTCTGGGAACAAGATGATCGGCAGTTAATCGCGGATCGTTATTAGCGACAAATTAGGATCGGTGATAATTTGACTTAAACTAAGCTCTACTCTCTTTATTTTTTGGTTTATGTTGATTCTGTTAATAGTTCTCGGTATCAAATTGATCCTTTATTTCCATGAAAAAGTCCGAAAAAAAGAAATTCAATATTGAAAAGTGCTGATTTTGAAATATCGATATGTACAGTCGTCTCGAGACCCTTTCTAACATAGGGATATCAACTTTGCCTTTCAATTCTTTCCTTTCCGCGTGAACAGCGATACGAAACGCGCGTCAACACGGCAATGCCAATCGCCTTTTTTGGTAACTTCAAATGGACTATCAAACCACCGCCGCTAGTGCTTACCATATTCCACACCTCCTTAGAAGCGCCGAAAAGACATCAATAATTCGGTAACTAATCTGTCATGGTCCGAACCCAGGGAGGGGAGTGTCTCATAGATGATGAAGAGAAGGATCTCTTCGACACCCTCCCTGCAATCCACTGCCACTTCATTAGCCATCAGCCGTTGCTTTGTCTTCCATCCGGCATCTCATAAGGCATGCGATCGTCCCGCCAATCCACCCCACACACATCAACGCATCCGAAGAATTCATTTCCGAATGACAAATTGGAAGGCAGGGCTGGGCAACGGCAGTGGAACCTGGGACATCAGTAGATATGGCCACGGGGGCGCCGTAAGCGCGTATAGCTTGTAGTACAGTAGAAAATACAGTACTAACCAGGGTTGAAAAGCCGCTTCGCGACTTTTCAACCCTGGCCCCCGTCTGTTCCCATGATAACCCTCACTTTGCATAATTCATGCGATTTTGGGTGACCAAAAAGGAGAAACGCTACCTCACTTCCCTTATATAGGCTTTCGCAACTTCCGGCGTATGCTAATTGTTTCCTAACAAAAAGGGTTCGATTTTTCAACAAAAAACATAATTTTAACATCGAAAACACCGAATTTTTACAAATTTTATGAGTGTGCAGTCATCTCAAGGCTATTACGCATCGAATAAGGTATAAAACATGCCCCTAGCTACCCCCCTTATTGAGATACTACTGGAACACGCTGACGGAAGTTGCATGCAAATGCACACACACACACAGGAACTATTTTTTTATATATAGTAGGATTGTTGCCAAAAATTTTTATTAATTTCAAATTGTAGTCAGGAACTACCACCAGAAAAAGTGCCACAGTTGTGTGTGTCTATACTTTATTTTGATAAAATTTAATTTTGTTTTTCCGCGACAAATAATAACGGAAGAGGGACACTGTTTTTTTTGATCTGGCAGGATAGCTTTGGCATAAAATTTATCGGATTTATTATAATTTAAATAGTTGACGAGACCCTACGAGTAAAGCCGCTTAATGTTGCATCCCGGTAAAAATCGATAATATTGTATTTTTTTGCAGCGCATCCACACCGGGGAGAAGCCGTTCAAATGTGAGCACTGCGGACGAGCCTTCCGTCAACCTGGAAACCTGACCCGCCATCGATTGACCCATACGACCGTAGGGCTTTTGGTGAGTTTTTAAGGGCTATGGAAGGTAGAAATCAGGCCAAGGGAAATCCAACTACTCAAAATTCCTTAATGGTGCAGAATTTGCTTGGAATTAATAACAAAAAAGCTTAATAGCAAAAACTGTACAGTACTAAATCTTTGCAATTTTTAATATAGATAATAATATCTAAAGTATCTATTTTCCAACAGAATAACCTTCTGCATTTTCAGATCAAGCCCTACATGTGTACCGAGTGCCACAAAACCTTCAATCGAGCTTCTAACCTACAAGCCCATAAGAAAACCCACGCTCGCCTGTAACCGCAAGCACCACCCCTTTTTCACCTCATATTTTCATGCGTGATAAATGATTTCTAACTTCAAAACTCCACGTCATACTGCCCCACCATTCAACAACGTCAGCGGGTAATACAAAGCTGTGCAGTAAACTAGTGAGAAGGCCCGTGAGAACCGGAGCAACCAAAAAAACGAAACCGAACATGGCTAGACCGCTAGACGGACAGCTGCCACACAAAAAACGGAACTTCCTCTTGCCGGCCATTTGCTCCACTTTTCAGCCACCGGCTACTCACTCAGCTGTTGCACTCCGCTTTTTACGCGCTCTCGCTTTTTTCACTGGGCCTCAAGATCCAATCGATATTGGCGGCGCAAAGCCCCATGGTCAGAAATGTCAAGAAATCTTTGCGTGGAGTGTTTACTGGATTGTCGGTCCGCGCTTATTATGCAATTTTTCGTTTAGCTTCGTTCCACCCAATTAGTTTTTAAAGTGGGAGGTTGTTTCTTAGAGTTTGGAAATGATTTATGAAGTTGTTTTCTGACATGATTTTTGTTTAATGAAAGCGATAGGTAGCCAGAAGTTCTCATATTTTATCACATATCCGAATAATATCTGGCTTACCGTACCTTGCTGCGGGCATCTAGAAAAAAGCGCCTGAACACAGGAGATTTGTGGGGCCCTCAAGCGCCCGCGCCTTGCAAGACGCCGTGTTCAGGTGTGTTTTGGAGTTTTGCAAGTTAGCACCGCTCATTCGATGGAGTTTCAAATTGAAATTGAAATTTTCAACAAGACCCATCTCTTAGCAATTTGTCAACGACGACTACGCTCAAGGGGGAAAATTTGCTATTGAAAGGCCGATTTGGCCATTTTAATAAAATGTAAAATTTGAAAAATTTTTTCGCCAGGAACGAATTACATTCAGCAGTTGTAAACGATGGCCGTTTCCTGATTTTTATGCTCTAGCGGATGGGACAAAACCCTTTAAAAAAAGCTTCAAAAGCACCTTCAAAGCCTTTCCCGTTCGAAATTATCTACGGTAAATCCTACTATATATAAAAAAAATAGTGTCTGTGTGTTAGTGTGTGTGCCACTTTGCATGCAACTTCCGTCAGGGTGTCCGGAAGATATCTCAAGAACGGAAGGGTATTAAGCAACGTTTGATACGTCATTAGATGCGTAATGGCTCTGGGATGACTGCACGCATATCAAATGTTGCAAATTCTGCTATTTTCGGCATTAAAATTAAGTTTTTGTTGAAAAATCGGCCGATCTCTTTGTTAGGAAAAATTAGCATACTCCGGAAGTGACGTTAGCCTATATATAATGCGAGAGAAAGGCGTTTTTCATTTTTTCAATGCAAGGCATTCGAGATACCTATGCAGAGCGAAGACTATTATGGGGTTGGACGGGGCCAGGGTTGAAAAGTCGCGAAGCGGCTTTTCAACCCTGGTCGTTATATTAATTTCCACATATTCTCGCGTTTAGAATGAACGGAATCTACGTAAATTCGTCAAATCGGTTCAAAATGCATCGGGTAGCGACCCCACGATGGGATTGCTTGTTGGGCAGTTTACTGCACGATATTTTCTCACATCTCGACGCTCGAGATCTGGCCGTGGCGGGAGCCTCAAACAGGTGAAGCTTTTATTTAGAGTTCTAGGTATTTTTTTAAGGCATTGGTATCGAATTTCGAGGACTGATGAATTGTGGCAGCCGCTGTTTGAGGAAAAGCATGATCTATGGGATTGCAGCAAATTATTGGTCTGTAAATGGGATTAAATCATAAAAATTAATTAAAAATTAAAAAATTTAAAGGTGAAAAAATTGTTTTAAATCGCAGTTTTAATTTGCGGATTTTAAAGAAGCAATTGCCGATAGACAGAATTGCTAGATCATCACTTTACCGGAATTTTAGATTACGGAAGCCTACTTCGACGAGTACACCTATTTTGAGAATCAAATTCCGACCAAAAAAACTCAGGTCAGCCAACCAGCATATTTTTTCCTTTTACCGGAAGCCTTTCCAGGTTGTAGATGATTTTGAAATTGAGCTGAAGCACGTGACGTTTTCTTCAAACGGAAAATATTTTGCGGTCTGTGGTGCAAACGCGTTGATATGGGTATTGCAAGCTCTCAAATGTATTGTAAGCTTCCTTCAGTTGTGGCGAACCGAACCGGAAATAGAATTCCTTACCGAAAAGGATCTCGCCAAGTCTTTGCAATGGGTAGAAGCCGATACGATCGAATTTTCGCCAGATGAGGCAAAACTTCTTGTGAACGGCAAGAAGACTGGAGGGCGACGGGAATTTTCTTGCTTCTCGATTAGTAAATGCAGCTGTAATTTGTTTTATATTTAGCGGTTTAGGTGAAACTGGTAGTGTTCGATACCTATGTAGAATAATGTGTACACCATTGGAATATTTGGGTTGTTGGCTGGACAGTCGCTATGTGCTTAGCGGAGAATTCTATCAATTCGGTAGCCCGTGAGTTTATTCAAATATCAAGATTTATACTTTATGGAGCTTCTCTAATTTGAGGCTCAAAAAAATAAAAAAATTATCTCCAGGACTTCGCTCGGCGATTCAATCTCGCAGCTGTGGTTGTGTAGCGTTCCAGATGATATGTATGCAGCAGCCGATTCCATTTACTGTCCAATATTTCGGTACAATATTTGCGCCTTATAATGCTTCTTAGCTTTTTAAACCGGACCGGAAGAGTTTGTCAAGTTTTGATTGCTCGCCACGTCTCACCGAGGTTCCGCCGAATACTTCAGTTGGCTGATGAGGCACGATGGGAACAAACGGTAAGTAGTTTGACTATTCATTTTCACGGTAACTAAATAAATATTGCACTCCCACTTCGGATTTTACCTCCCGCTTTTTCGCGCCTTTCAAGGGGCTTTTGAATGATGTAGGAACCATCCCAATCCGAGCCGCTAGTGGGGCGCTTTTTTAGGACACCCAATACATCGTAATTAGTAACTTAGAGTATAAGCGCATACATTGAACGCAAGAGTATTATGCAAGGGCGAAATATAGGTTAGTACAATTGCTGTCGGTTACATTTAACTTTTTAACTTTTTAACTGTCGTTATTCTCTTACCATTATTGCCTGAAACATAAATTCCCAAAGCAACACTCTAAATCTATAATGGTTCTCTGGGATTGCAGACGCTCTCTCATAAGTTGCTCGAACTGAAAACGCGCGCGGAAATTGAATGCGAAGACGCCGACAAGGAATTGGATTCGTTGAAGAAACTGCTGGATACGGAGAGTGAGTGCGGCGAATGCTACGCGCACCACACACTCAAAGCGCAACCCGCCGATTTTGGTAAGCAAAAAGTTTTGTAAAGAGTAGAAAAGTAAGGTCTAAAGTGGCATTAGAAGGGTCTGTTTCCCTTCTAATCAGCATCAACAATCAATGCACATAAACGGATTTAGAATGCCATTGTGAATGTCATCAACCAGCAGATCGATTAATGATCTACGTCAACGGTGATCTTTGCCATAGACTCAATTTTAAAGTGATCTCACAAAAAATGGTTAGTATTCCTCTCATAGCCTCCCATACAAAGATGCCACAAAAAAAGCCCTGTAACGCAAACATTTTCAGATCAATAAAGCCCTGAACTTTGAAAACTACACAACAGAAAAGAAGGCGGCACCCGAAAACGAGTATGATAGTGACTAAAGATTTTGAATATTAGGTTTAGGACCGATAGTTTGGAGTCGATTATGGAACAAATTGATCAACCGGATTATTTTGTGGAATTAGATGGTAGTATCCAGGGCCTCTCCCTTTCCACCGATCATAGGTGCTTTGTAGACTACTTTCTGTGCATTTCTTAACTTTCAGGATGCTCGAATTTGCCGTGAGGGTCGTTGTCGAAGATACAGTGGGAGAAGTTGTTGGATCCCAGGTGGCGTGGCCATTTATTTGATAGAAAATGGGCCCGGGGGGGGACTTTGGCCATAGAAACCCGGAAATTTTAAGAACTTCGTAAGACCAACCGTGGTGATTAAAAAGCTTTCTAAGCCGATTCCGGTCGATTCCGATAAAGGTCCCCTGATTTTCAGTTGGAACACCGTCGCGTCGATTTGGGCAAAATGATCGTTGAGAAGAAGCCCGTGGCGGGACGACCAATCTCACGGGTCACCTGCTCAAGCCAGCGCATCGTAATTAGGTATATCTGGCCCTTTAATCCCTCGTGGGATATCCCAGACCCTTTAGCACTCATCGACGAGAGCTCCTCTTGTGGGCAAGGGATTATGGAGCCGAGCCGGTGGCCAATCTCGTTCACGAGCATCCGTGAGTTCAGCCAGCCCGCATCTTTCTCCCCCCGTGCCTCTTCTTTCCATTGATATTATTCTCGGATGGGAGGCCCCTCCTTGCTCCCAATCCACAATACACTTCCATTTATCCTAGAATTAGAAGTGAATAGGGCTTCGAATGGATTCGAGTGGTACAGGTATCAAAGATGGCATGATTTTGGGTTAAAGGGATAGGAAAGGCATGTCTCGATCAGGTCGCCTCCACAAGTGGCAAAAAGCTCATCGGGATAGCTATGCGAAAATTGAGGAGTGAGTGTGCCAGACAAAAGTGAAAAGAGCCGATTTATGCTGGCTTTCGAACTAAAACCCGTTCTATGCTTATTGTTAGTTATATGCCCTTTAGCGTTACCGTTCGATACTGTACATACACAAAATAGAGATTCCACCTGTTTCCACACAAAAACTAACCAAACTTTTACACCGGTTTGAGCGAACCGGCGTCACCTTATTTATTCTCGGGTTCTTATTTCCGATAGACTGACGGACTCGTATTGTCGATTCTACTTATTAATTCATAGCGACAAAAGTTCCGCCGCCTTTCACCGCGTCCCTGAATTCGAAATACCCGCTTGTGAGTACCGTACCCCCGCGGTCAATATATTCCCGGCGACAGCTCCCCTTCTCGCTCCAAATTTGCCACCAGCGGCACCTCGTATAATATGGGGCTTCATTTTGTCACACGCGCACCCGCGAAAAATGGCTGCGGAAATTGGGAAAGATCAAGTGTTTGGCGGGGGATTGATGCTGGAAACCTACCGCATCGATTCGTCGCCCCCTGCAAGTCCCAAGACTGGGCCTTCTCGATGGGCCCCTGGGCCCAGAATGGCCCAAATGCCCTCGCCCTCGGGGCATCCCCCTATGGCCCCAGCCAGCCTCCAGCATGCCCGGCACCAAATTGGAAAATTCCATGGGACGACAGACGACCAAACATACACACACACATAGGGACAGACAGACAGAACAGGAGGGACATCGCCATACACCGCTCTTCCCCCACCCATAAAAACATTTGGGGAAGGCCCCCCGACTCGCGATTTGCATTCGAGCAACCTTTCACGGACGGGGGGAGCGTCGGTGCCTATTTTTCCGATCACAACCCCCACAAAACGTATACCGACCGCCTTATTTATAGCGGGAGCGCGTGCAGGGGAGGTGCTGCAGAGAGAAAAACAGGGCACCACCCCTCTGATCTGTGATAGCCCGAAAATAGAAGGAAAATTGTTCGTTTGTCAACAGTAAGGGCAGATGGGACCCGAGGAATTCAGGGGGAAATACGGGGTATCCCCTGAATTTAGCGTTTTAGGAATTATCGAAGGCTCTCTAAAAGTCGAAAAAGCTATTTGGATTTTTATTTAGGTTATAGATTTTACGTCTGTTTTCTATGAGCAAAAGCCGTAAAAAGTACTGATTTTTGCGCGATTCGTATGTCAGGTACAAAACGCCCGGTTACGACGAAATAACTGCATATCCAGAAAAACTTAAATAAATGAATAAAAACCAAATCCACTTGTTGTTTCGCCGTTTCAAGAGCTTTCGGATGATATAGAAACCCTACCGATCCGACTCTTCTCCGGACCGCTAGTGGGGGGGGCACTTTTTCGACACCTTGTAAAACTTCACCACTCACCACCCACATTTTGACAGTTACAGTCGTAGTCATAAAATCTAAGCTTTTTTTTCAGGATCACGTGTTCCGCCGTGCACCCGGATAATTCGATCCTACTGGCCTGTGTCGGAATGGATCTCCATATCTGGGAGTCTCCACTACGCGTCAAAAGCTCCTCCCCACCATGTGGCTAATCAGCAAGTGACTAGCCGCCTATATTTGTATGTATGTAAACTAAGTACGAGCCACTTTCGATAAAGCGTTTTTTGGGGCGGTGTGTTGCGGAGGGGGGGCAAACGGTAGACAGACACAACATAATGCATGGCGGGGTGTGGGTGTGTCACGCGACACGGCTCCAGAATCACCAGCCCTGCCAATTTCCTGGCCCAAACTTCATGCCACGCGACAGATCCCGGGCGGTTGATTCAAAAAAAAAAGAACGGCCGGGATTCCCCGGCACAGAAATGTGATTGAAAACAGAATATGGCTAACCATTCCTGCGTGATGAGTTTAAAAAATGACTCTGACATACCACTGAATCAGATGTTTAGTTGGCCGGTTTAACACACCAGCTCTGCGTGCGTTCCCTCATATATATCTTACTCATAAACCGAGATTTTGCTATAAAAGGCCCGTCAAACGCCCCCCGTCGTCGCTTGAGTAATCTGTCCATATTTACAGTAAACCTGGCAGATGTTTGCCTTTGTAGCACGTGGAATTTCACACAATATTAGGTTTATGTGTAAAATATGCTGTTCCCCGGTAGCTCGGTTTGTTAAGCTAACAATTTTGTTTAGAAAGGGGTTTGTCTGTACGTATGAATGATTTTGTTGTCGGGCAGCAGAAGTGATTTTATGAAACTGTGCGTTCTCACTTCAAATCGGATTCTAGCATTCGAAGATGTTGAGGCGATGTGATGTTACAACAGCACATCGATAGCTCCGATTAGTCATTGTCTGGAAACGGAGGCAGCCATCAGATTATGACATAGATAAGGGATGATTTTCTGGAAAGTCTAAATGATGATGGGTAGTAGTGGTAGCTGGTAGCTCGCAAGGCTACTAGACAAAGGAATGGGCGCTAATGAGTCACAAGAGAGGGTGGGGAAGATACTTGTCGCGAAGAATCTGCCAGCTGGTTGGAACTGCTGTGTGGAGTGGCCTTTCGCGCAAAAGAGCATCCACCCCCATCCGGTCAACACCTGGTCCCCCCAAGGTAAAGTTCTCCCAATTCCAACCATCACCCCCAAAAAAACGCGGCAATCGGTGCGTTTTTGTGCAAGCAACACGCCAAGCTTTAAGCTGAAAAGACGCCTTTAATCCGCGTGTTAACGATGCAGCATAGTCCCCGTCCAATTCTTTTGGGGTTTCCACGTCAATGTGAAATTGTGGACACCGTATGGAAGTGATACCAACCCGAAATCCATTGCCTGGAAACTATTTGCATAAGAAAATTGCGCCTTTTCGAACAAACCCGACCTTTCGAGATTTTTCGGTATGGTGTCCATTGACCGTCGAGGTGCTATATTTGCAGGGCCTAATGACTGGCAGAAGAGGGAGTGTGAATCGTACGGAGAGCGCCGGTTACTGTAAACGCTAGCGCACGCCGATAAGGAACTTGGCCGATCGCCCTGTAGTGCGGGAAAAAGGGGGGGATGGGAAGGGACCCGTGGGCCCTGGGGTGATGGCCATCCTCCCTTAGGACGGGTTCTTAATTAGAGGTTGTTTACTGGAGGCATGGTCAGAGGGTCCCCCCTGGGGCGGCGAGCATTGATTCCTGAAAGAGCCCAAGGGACCGATCCCTGTTATCGGGGGTGCCCACTTGTTATGGGTGGCCAAGGGATGGGAATCTGTTACAGAGTAGGTTTATTTTTTGGTATATTTCGATAGGGTTTGACATGGGAATCACGAATCTGAAGTTAATTTTTGGCATTTTTATAGGTATGGTAAAGCTTTAATGGTCGAAAGGTATGTGCGCTAGGAGGGCATTCGGGGGGTCGGGCAATCCCCGGAGCGAGCCTCGAGGGGACCGGACCACACGCCCCGGTTATCCCCTGCTATTGGGGGTCGGGCATAGGCCCCTCCCACAACCCCCACTATAACTCATTCAAACCTTTTGTATTTCCCCATGTTTTTGGGCTCGTTTGATAGAGCTCCACGCATTGCCTACCGTCCCCAAGTTTCAACTTAAATTTACAAGCCCGGACTGGGTAAGGGTAGGGGTAAAGGTGTGTGCGCTAGCAGGGCGTCCTGCCCCCTCTCTCCCCTCCTTCGCGCAAAATTGGCCCAGAAGAGGGAGGCAGGAGGCGGGTGTCATTGTGGGGCGCTATGTCCAAGCATTGCTTTCCCTCAACCAGCCTTCTCCCCTCTCCTCACTATTTCAATTTGTAAAATTTTTCCCTCAGGCCATTTTTACATATTCGACGATAACTCTGAAATAAAATTTGTATTTAGAGTATCAAACCTCCCGCCCAATCCACCCTTCAACCACCCCGCAACAATGAGCGACGCCAAGGACGAGCTTGTGCAGAAGGCTAAGCTGGCCGAGCAGGTGCGCAATTTAATATTCTTGTTTTATGTGGAACTACTTTGGTAGCTTGCATTTTATTTGCTACTAGAAATTTATGAATTAAATCGTCTTATTTCGATGCATTGGCATTCACTGATAATCTTTGATCCGTTAGGATTGGCTAACTTTTGACGAAGTATTTCTTAACTGGGGGTAATTTTATATAAAGTATGATGTTGGCGACTATAGTGCAACATTTATTTGGGCAATGTTTGCCTAGTGGCAGGCCCCAGCTGGGAGGCCATTTGGACATTGCGTGTATGGGAGGCAATTTACCAAGTTGAGTAAAGTAGAATTAACAACATTTGCATACGGATACGTCATTATTGTCTGGTTATTATCTGAATAATGTATATTAGATTTTTAGGTAGAAAATAGGTTATCGATTTTTCAAAAAAAAATTAAGGGACTGATTTTGGGGACAAGTGAGGACAAGCTAACCCGCGAACAAACCAAACAACCAAAAAATACAAAAAACAAATTGCTAAATTTCTAAAAAAGATAATGTCTGTTTTGTTAGGCCGAGCGCTACGATGACATGGCGCAGTCGATGAAGCGCGTGACGGAGCTCGGCGCCGAGCTGTCCAATGAGGAGCGCAATCTCCTCTCCGTTGCCTACAAGAACGTCGTCGGTGCTCGTCGTTCATCGTGGCGTGTCATCTCATCGATTGAGCAAAAGACCGAGGGATCTGAGAAGAAGCAGCAGATGGCCAAGGAGTACCGCGAGAAGGTCGAGAAGGAGCTCCGCGACATCTGCCAGGATGTTTTGGTATGACGAATTCCATCGGCTCTAGACGTATCGGAACCTTTTCAGACCCTTCTGGACAAGTTCTTGATCCCGAAGGCCGGAAACCCGGAGAGCAAGGTGTTCTACCTGAAGATGAAGGGTGACTACTACCGTTACCTCGCTGAGGTCGCTGCCGGTGAAGACCGTGCCGGTAGGTTGATAACACTGTTCTTCTCCCCATTACTACTAATTGCACCTGGATGCAAATTGCGGTGAATTCCTGTCCTGGAGACGAATCGGGGCTGTTGGTGCGCGTAGACGATTAGTCATAGCATTAGGATCGACAGCACTTTGATCCCACTTTTTAAATAACACGGCAGACAAACAAATTGCCGTCGGGATGGGGCACGATTTTATGCGTCATCTCAGCTTTCATCATCGAAAAGACTGTAAAAAACAGTCACAGGATTGAGGAGCTTGCGAAACCATATTTTAGCTTATGCATTATTTTAGTAAAGTCGCGCTTTTAAAATTAAAATCTTAGGAAAGTACCTCTAGTTAAATAGCCAGTCTAGAATATCCCCGGCTCTAAACATTAGTTTTTTAAGCTGTCGTCGAGAAGTCGCAGCAATCGTACCAGGAGGCATTCGATATTGCCAAGGATAAAATGCAGCCGACGCACCCGATTCGGCTCGGCCTTGCCCTCAACTTCTCTGTGTTCTACTACGAGATCCTGAATGCCCCTGACAAGGCGTGCCAGCTTGCCAAGCAGGTGTGTACAATTTTCCGGCATTCCAGGGGTCGCCGAGCTGGCTCAAGGGGCTTATGGAGAAGCTCAAGACATTGCGAGAGCACTTCCGACAACACATTCCGTCAGATTGGGGCTAGCCCTCAATTATTCGGTTTTCTATTATGAGGTGGCACATAGCCCCGATCGGGCTTGTCAACTCGCCAAGCAGGTCGTTATCGTTTCCGAATCAATTGCCGGTTTGGTAAACTTCTACTAAAAAGGATCGATCGCGATCAATTAATCTAAATCTTTTCAGGCTTTCGACGATGCGATCGCCGAGCTGGATACCCTGAACGAGGATTCGTACAAGGATTCGACCCTGATCATGCAACTCCTTCGGGACAACCTCACCCTCTGGACCTCCGATGCCGCTGGTGATGATGATGCTGGTGACAATGCTGACGGCAACAACTAAACATCCTTTCCTTCCCCCCATCACCCGCCGGGTACGTCCTTCCTTTTATCAAATCTGCAAATCAGCACAAAATCTGGGTCACCACCCCCCTTCCACTCTGCATCAGCTGTCCCTCCCTGTACCATCTATAATCTGATCAATATGAACCAAACAATATCATAATCAATCGATTTTCCAGGTTCCAACCGCAGCCACCGCGATCTGCTCCCTTCAATCTACGACAACACAACCAACTTAATTCACACCCCCACTACCCCACAACTTCAACAGCAAAATTACGAACTTATTCTGATCGTTTATCCCTTTTTGTTTTCACGCCCCCGTGACTTCAATCTTGTCCTCAAATGTTTCATCCACGCAAGTCTGAATCTACAGGAACTGTATGACAGCTTTTCACCTATCCCCCATTATTCCTAATTCATTTCTCGGATCTTCGAAAACCTACTTGACGTAGCATTTCGGTGTAGCTAACTTGGAGAAACGATTGGCCATTCAAATGTGAAATCATCTTTCGTCCCCCAAAAAACAACTCCCCCCGTCCCGGGCACTCAAGAGCTCTTCATTTTCCCGCGCATCCATCTTTCCAAAAATAATCCGTTAGGTCGACTGTCGATCTCCGCGCCTGTAACGAAAGGCAACCCAAAAGCAAAAAACGACGATCCATTAATGTGCGTGCCTGCGGATACTTGGAGGGATTGGATCGATGAGTTGGAAAAGACACAAATAGCGGCCATATTCCATCTCAACATTGCTGCAATTCAGCTCATCAGCCGCTCGAAAAGTATCTACATCATGCCATTCATTCTCAACTATTTCCTCCCCACTCGATAGGTTCTCAGTTGGCCCTTGCCTGAAAAAAAAGAAAATTATATGCCCCCCTCATCCCCCATTCTCTCAAAATCCAAATTTTGCCCGCCCCCATTTCTCGCACGGAAACCAATTCCATATTTTCCACATATTTAATGATGTAATGAATAAATTTATTAAGTTGAAGGGTTGTTGTCGTATTGGCATAGGAGTGGAACGGAACGGGAAGGGGCTGATGCGAAAGGAAAAGAAAAGAGGGACAGGGGATCGGCTATTACAGCCGAAGTGACAGGATAGGTCACTTTCCAGGCCAAGAGAAGGGGAGACCCCCCTCGAGGCTTGACGGGTTCATTAGAGCCGACCAGGAATATATATCCGTCTGGACGGGCACGAAAACCCCATCCACTTGAAGCCCATCTCAAAAAATGGCTGTGTAGGGAGGGGAAGGTCCCCAGAATGAGCTGTCGCGCACATGGGCGGTCAGGTCTTTTTCTGACAAAAAAGGACCTTCTCGGTCTCCGCCTAAAATTTGGGTAATTACGGACGGAGAGTATTGAAAAATGAGCCATGGCGAGCCTAGGAAGCGCCACTAACAAATAGTTCCATGAATGTCATTGATTTTCCTTTTGCTTGCCTGCCTTCTAAAATACGACCGACACAACGGTGGCTGCTTTAACAAAAATAGAATAGAATGCTTCTTCCCGGGATTTGGTGACGGTCAAACATTGATGCTGAACTAGCGGCAGCTCCCAAATCCGGGCCTGAAAGCAGCTTCCTCACCCCAAATTCCATTCGCAATTTTGAAAACCACCAAATGCGATAACGGCGCACTGAGTTCCGCACGCAACGCATCATCAAACATTTTGTGCAGCCGTCCCTCCCCTCGCCAGCTCATACCGTGGAATGTCGAAATCCGAGCGCACTACCTGCACGCACGATCTCACTTTCCCTACCCCCTCACACCATATTTCGCAGCTATCTCCATTTTTGAGACTCTAATCAGAATAAGCATCAGTACGAAATTCTGTATTAGACAGGTTCTTAATTAAATACGACGATTGGAAACCTAATATTGCCGTAGCACGTACATCTAAGCAAATGAGTTTATTCAGATATAAGATTCAAATCATTCGGACAATCTCACACCATGCAATTTGAATAAGCAGATTCTTATTGCGTGGTTAGTCACATATTTGATATATTTGAATGGTAGCGATACCTGAATAAGAACATCTAGACTTTCGGGTCATAATCAATACTCAATCCCTTGTTCCTCAAAAAAACAAGTTCAACGACCAACCATTATTGCAAAATGGCTACCCGCCAAGGATGAGATAAGGGGAGGGGGAGCGCCGTTTTCGTAGCGCCTCGGCTTTCCCGTGGGATTGCGGATGCCGTATGTGGGCCAACATTTTCGCGTCAAGCACGAAGAAAATCCGCTTCCACTTTAACATGCTCCCGAAACTTTCGCCGCCGGCCGGCTGTCCGTCATTGTTTGCCGATGCGTTTTAGCGCGCACAGCTGTGGTCAGCATCGGCATCGTTTTGTCGCGGCCACAAAACGGGGGGCCAGCAGCTTTTTGGATCAAACTGGAAATGCCAACTAATCCCATTTTTATTTGAATATTAAAATATCATTAGGCGCGCTTTGGTCGGCGGCTTCTCGAACAGTTTTTGAACTTCACTTGAACTCGCCGCTATTTCCCACAATTTTCTGTACTTCAAGTACATAAAAGGTGCATCCATTAACATAGCACAGGACTGTGTTATTATTTTTATCGTCCTTGTTGACGGAATTGGCGGTTGTTTTTCTAAAAAATTGATAGTTCCAGGACTCCCACTCAACCAATAGGTGGGCGAACTAACGCTAATGTTGAACCATATTTCGCCCCTTGGCGGTATCCCACCTTTTTGTGGGTCTGATGTTGTGAAATTCTCCTTATCCGCGGTGCATGAAATCCCCACGACGTCAATAGCCCTTGGGCGTCTATTTCGAGAATTCAGTCCAATAGGCCATTTCAAGGGGTTTTTTGCCCTTCTCCTGACAGCTCTTGGTCATATCAGACATAACGTTGTCTAGAGAGCGGGTTGAGTATCGGCTTTTTCGAAGCGACTGCGCGAGCGGTGGGGAAGGGCTTTGCTTTGATGGGCGAATTGGAGCCTGGCCCTGGGCCCCCGGGCACTGCTGGGCCCTATCGATCGGAGCTTAGGGGGCAAAGAATTTCGAGGAAGGGGGCGCCCCTTATGGAGCAAAAGAAAAGAACCAACTTGCTTACATCTTCCCTATTGATTGCTATGTCAAGCTCAACATCCTAATGTTTCATAATTTCTTTTATCGAAATCACATCCTTCGTTATTAATATTTGCGCCTGTGTGATAAACTTCAAGCCAAATATTGGTCCTGCGAGAGCTCTTTTCGAGCATCATCACAGCCTTCGTCCATCAATTTACTTATTAAAAACCGTTTTCCCCTACATTTTTATAATCTACACAAACTTCCTAAGCTCTCCCTTTCGAAAAACAGCCCACAATACTTTCCGAAAACCCCCTGATACTAAATCGAGGGCTCTCAAGGCCCCAAATTAACCCTGAGAACGTTGCAGCAGATATTCCAAGGCTCAAATTAGCGCTGCAATTTTAGCCGAAAATGCAAAAACGGTACCCAGACCCCTACAAAACCCTGGATTTTCTCCTTAGTAATTTATTGACGTACGATCACATACGTAAAATAGCTAATAATTTTCGTGGAGCCCGGCTAATGACTCGCTGGTACCAGCACTTTGCATTTTGCAATCCGATTTTTACTATTGACCAGCTGGTACTGTGCATGCAGCGCCTACCACACTAGACACACAGATGGCCCCCAACTGACAATGCATTCATATTGCCTATTCAGAATTTGATGCATCAATGAAACGACACAATTGATTACCTAATGAAAATTGTTTCAGGTAATCGGCCAAGATGACGCTCAAACAGATCGTCGGTCAAAGTGAGTTCAGAAAAATATATAATTGAAACATTACCCGTTTCTATGTAGCCGATTTCTTAAAAAGAGTTTTACAGAAGTGTTGGCGGATGTTATTCAGCCGCTGAAAAAGAAAGCTGGCTGGAATGTGTTGGTTGTGGATCGGTTGGCGATGAGGATGCTGTCGGCGTGCTGCAAAATGCACGATATCATGGCCGAAGGAATTACTATTGGTAGGTCAACAATAATTAAGTTGCTGAAAAATTCATAAAAAAGGGTTGAAATTTAGCTTTTGTGCCGCAGAAGGATCAATTTACCATTGAAATATTAGCCAAAATTCGGACGCAAGAAGAAATAGCCACTGATTTTGGGGTGCCAGCTCGGCTGTCGAGCAGAATATAAATTTGGAATGGAATATTAAGTAGCCACATTTCATAGCCCCTGTAAAATGAAGATCAACTAAAATAATTTTCTTGACGCGTCTGTCTGTCCGTCCGTCCGTCTGAAGCCGAATTCAACTCAAAGGGGAAAGGAGCGGCAGCTCTCTTCGGTTCGGATAGAGCGTGGTCAGAAACCCCCAAACTGATAAAAAAATTATGAAAAAGTTTTAGTTTAAATTATTAAAATAAACTTTGAAAGTTTTTCCTTAGAAAAGGGGGGGGGACGGAGGTTGGGGTGATCTTGGACATAGTGAGCCAGGTGGCGCGCGTTTCGTGGATGAAAATTTTCACGAGGGATTTCATTTATTATTTCTCTCATTTCATCCGGTCGGTCGTTATTTTCGTTTTAAGGGGATTTCGGCTAGGGGAGGTATCTAAAGCCATCAGGAAGGTATGTAGGTAGTTTTTGAAGGGGATTTCAGCCAGGGGGTATCTAAGCCATCGGGAAGGTATGTAGGTAGTTTTTGAAGGGGATTTCAGCCATGGGGGTATCTTAAGCCATCGGGAAGGTATTTAGGTAGTTTTTGAAGGGCATTCGCCTAGGGAGGTGTCTAAAGCCATCAGGAAGGTATTTAGGTAGTTTTTGAAGGGGATTTCAGCCATGGGGGTATCTTAAGCCATCGGGAAGGTATTTAGGTAGTTTTGAAGGGGATTTAGCCAGGGGTATCTTAAGCCATCAGGAAGGTATGTAGGTAGTTTTGAAGGGGATTTCAGCCATGGGGGTATCTTAAGCCATCGGGAAGGTATGTAGGTAGTTTTTGAAGGGGATTCAGCCATGGGGGTATCTTAAGCCATCGGGAAGGTATTTAGGTAGTTTTGAAGGGATTTCAGCCATGGGGGTATCTTAAGCCATCGGGAAGGTATTTAGGTAGTTTTTGAAGGGGTTTCAGCCATGGGGGTATCTTAAGCCATCGGGAAGGTATTTAGGTAGTTTTGAAGGGGTTTCGGCTAGGAGGGCTAAAGCCGTCAGGAAGGTATCGAAGTAGTTAGTGGGCAGGTAGATAGGTAGGTGTATTACATGGAGGGTAACCCGAAGGCCAGATGGTTACAGTCGCGAAGCGACTGGAACCATCTGGTAAAATAATAAGGCAAAATTGTATTTTAGTCGAGGATCTGATGAAAAACCGTGAACCCCTCCCCAGCCTCGACGCCATCTACCTGATTGCACCCACGCAAGAATCGGTAGAAAACTGGGACATCAGTGAAATAATAATTTTTTTTAGGTGAATCGCCTCATCCAAGATTTCACCATTCGCTGCCAATACAAGCAGGCCCATGTATTTTTCACCGAAGCCTGCCCCGATCAACTTTTCAACACCCTATCCAAGTCGGCCGCTGTCCGTTTCATAAAAACACTAAAAGAAATCAATATTGCCTTCACCCCGTATGAGTCTCAGGTAAGTTTTATATTTATTAATAATACCATTTTGATTACGTTCTAAACCATGATTTTTATAGATCTACACCTTGGATTCTCCTGATACATTCACACTGTACTTTAACCCACAGAAGCAGAGCGGTCTCACTGTAAACCTTGAGCGTATTGCCGAACAAATCGCGACTGTCTGCGCCACATTGGGAGAATATCCTTCAATTAGGTATGTAAACAAATCAGTTCTACCTACATAAGTAAGAATTGTTTTTGGTTTCGATTTGCATTCACTTAATTTTCAGATACCGTGCGGATTTTGAGCGAAACATGGAATTGGCTCAGCTGGTCGAGCAGAAACTTGACGCCTACAAGGCCGATGACCCAACGATGGGCGATGGCAACGAGAAGGCCCGCTCACAACTCATTATTATTGGTATACAATGAACCCGAGAATTATTTACATCCTTTCAGATCGTGGCTTCGATCCACAGACTCCTCTGCTTCACGAGCTGACCCTTCAAGCCATGACTTATGATCTCTTAGGCATTGAAAATGATGTCTACAAATATGAAACCGGTGGCAATGAGAGTGTCGACAAAGAAGTACAGTTACATATTTCAAATTTTTAACCCCCCCTCCAGGTCCTTCTCGATGAAAATGATGATCTCTGGGTGGAAAACCGGCATAAACATATTGCGATGGTGTCCCAAGACGTGACGAAAGGATTGAAGAAATTTTCCGACAGCAAGATGGGCGTCAAGGATTCGAAGAACATCAAGGATCTATCAATGATGATCAAGAAAATGCCACAGTTTCAAAAGGAACTCAACAAGTTCAGCACCCATTTCCACCTGGCTGAAGAGAACATGAAACGCTATCAGGGTGGTGTCGATAAGCTCTGCAAAGTAGAACAGGTAAGACAACTACTGGGATTAGCGCTTTTTAGCATGGAAGAACCTTGCAAATTGTTTTGCAGGATTTGGCGATGGGTGCTGACGCTGATGGTGAACGGATTAAGGATCCGATGAAGCTGATGGTGCCGCTCCTAATTGATCCGGCTGTACGTGTCGAGGATCGTCTGCGACTTATCCTCTTGTTCATCCACAGCAAGAATGGTAAATTTTTAAAGAAAGGAGCACAAAGCCCGAAATAAAGATTTAATCTTCGATTTTAGGGATTCCGGATGATAACCTGAATAAACTTCTTCAACATGCCAACATTGCGATGGCGGAGAAAGAGACTTTGACGAACGCATCATACCTTGGCCTTAATATCGCCACCGAGGTCGGTTTTATTGGTTTTTTACAAAGTTCGGTTCTATTTTAGCAAGGCAAGAAAAAGACCTGGACGCCAACGCGACGAGAACGCCCAAATGAGCAGATCTATCAGAGCAGCAGGTTCGTGAAAAGCTGTTGCTAGATCGGATCATTCTAGATGGGTACCAATTCTGAAAGATGTGATGGAGGATGCAATTGATGATAAACTGGATAACAAGCACTTCCCATTCCTTGCTGGTGGGTTTAGAATTTAATTAATTCAAGCTAAAGGGCTTACTATAAAATGCTAAGCGAAATTTCCAGGTCGCCAAATCACTTCTGGGTACCGAGCACCAACATCCGCGCGCTACGGCCAGTGGCATAAGGAGCGCGGCCAGGCTGGAGCTCATCGGTAGGATATTAGCTTATTGCCGTCGTTGTTAAATTTCTGCCTTTGATTAATATTAAAACGTACTTTTCCAGCTCTGGGCCACGTTTGATTATCTTCATCGTCGGTGGCGTTACATATTCTGAGATGCGTGCCGCCTACGAGGTCACTCGCGACAAGAAGCCGTGGGAGATCATTGTCGGTAAGTAGATTTTCAAACATGCTTTACCTTTAATTTTGATCTATTGTTATAACAATTTCAGGCTCCGACCAAATCATTACTCCTGACAAATACCTGTCGAACCTCCGCGACCTCAAGAAGGATACGTGACTAGGCGTGGGGGCTCGACATACTGTCGTCGATGAGACCCACCATATGGTCATTTAAAATGTAATTGACGACCAATTTATTTGTTCCAATCTCTACTTGTATAATCACTATACTATCTCCACCATACCATCCTTTTATTATTTATTCTGGCAATACCGTGCACTTCGAAGTATAATCGATCCCTCCGTCTCCCCTTCACTAGAGCCATTATTGCTAGAAATTCGTCACTGAACGACGCTGGTCCCTCCCTTTAATTTGCTACTGTAGCTGCCTACTTGCAATTTGTAAGCTCCTGGGTCCGAACACAACCAAACAGCCGTTTTTTTTCTAGTCGTTGCCATCACTCCTCTAACATTCCATCTTCATTCGCTTCGCTTCCGCCCTCGTTAATATTTTTTGACCACCCGTGTATGATTAGCCTAGATACGGTATGGAATAAATTTTTTGGCTTTGCAAAAGCACTTGAGGTGTATTGTTGGGTGGGGGGAGTATGCGAGTGATTGCGGACAAGGGCATTACTGCGCTGATTTGGGGGAAAAGCTCTCTGGATAGAAGAGCCTTGCCCCCCCGTGCCGCATTTTGTATTTGCTGATCCACTTCTGGCCGCTCCTGTTTACTTCAGCTCTATTATTTTTCAGCGTTTGATCTTACAATTCTTGAAATAGGTGCCACCCGCATCAGCTGGGTCTGGAATGTTTGCCGACCGGAAAATTAGCTAATGAAATAGGTCGCTCGGTCTGGAATAGGTGTAACTGCCGTCACTTGAAGATGTCGGGTACTTTATGGAAACCGAAAGCAGAAATGCTTAGGTCGTTGAAATAACGTCTTTAAAGTCGGATTTTAGCACGGAGCTTCGGGCCACATTCCCTGAAGGGTCAACGGTAAGAAACCGTACACCTTCGCGAGTGGTGACTCATTTGCGTTGTGTGAAATCATCATTTTTCGGTCATCAGAAATGACCTGCAAAATTATCACTTTTTTTTTTCAAAGTATGGTGCAGAGGCACTTGGCGATTTCCTACTGCCAAATTTTTACCAAGAAAACGGCTACAATAACCTGGATCTGAACCTATTCTAGTTCGATGAGTCTGTGAAATTTGGTTTTCGTTCCATGTGGGCCAACAATGCAAAGCTTGATTGATTTCATTTAGAACAAAGGCGAGATCGGCTGTTTGTTTCTTTGTTTAAGATAACGACATTACACACCATCACGATTAGCTCGATCACGATTAACCCATCGGCCATAACCTAAATTTTTATTGTCGGGGTCCAAACGGTCGGTTTTTTGGATGGTACGAAATTTTTCAGGTGGCAAACCTCATTCGATAGGGCTTGAGTTTTGAAATAGTCACACCTTGTGGGACAGCGGAACCATCACCTTCTGGCAGAAAAAGCTTACCAAATGTTTAATTTCTTAAAGGGATCGGGAGACCCAGGTGAATTAGCATAAAACAGGCTTTAGTTCTAAAATTGCTTAAATCTTTTCTGATCCCTCCTGCCTCGCCCCACTCTCTTCCCATTTTATTGCATGAGCATTGTCGGTTGACTCGTTGCCAATAATAGATGAGCTCTGATCTACTGGGCTTTCCTTATGGAACGGCGATGGAACGACACAATTCGCCCTAACCTAGGAAATCTTCTCCAAGAAGGTTACAATTCAGCAATCTTCGACTCCTTATTGGACTCCCTTGTGTTCCTTATTTTCGACTCACAATGTGCTTTCAATGGCCTGGCTGATTGAAATCTGTTGTTGTCCAAATTCCAACCACCACAAACGTCTTCTTCGGACCGTGGAAAATGTCATTAAGCGGAGCTTCCCTTAGTCAGGTCGGGGGACTCCCCAAAGAAAAAAAAAGAAGCAAATAGAAGTGATTATTGAGCGGATGAGGAGGAGGTGAAGAGAAGAGAAGCGAAAAGAGGGCTGAGAGAGGGAAGGAGGAGGGGGATGAAGAGGTGGATATCGGGGGGTAGCAAAGAGAGAAGAAGCCTGTGGGGGCGTGTGTGTCGAGGACCGTTTCTCCGAGTTTCTTGACTGCTTGCCCTCTTGGATTTGAGAGGATCGGAGGGGCGGAGATTTTGCGAACCCATCCCTTCAGGTAGACAGCCCTCCCCTCCCCTCATCTACCATCATAAGGACCCACCATTCCATTCTACAACACCACATCCAGCTGCAATGGGCGAAGACGTGGGTTTATTCTATTGCCTTGTAAATGTCGATTTTCGCTGTTTATATTCGGATTGTACCTTAATGTCTTTAAATCGGATGCTTAGGCATCGGCCACGTGTGTGAAGGGGAACTTAATTACGTAGAGGAACACAAGAAAGAGCGGGACGCAGACGACAAGTGGAGCTCGCGTAGCATTAAAACGCCCTGGACGTTAAAATAGCCTAAGCATCCCCTTTAATAGGCTTTGTATGCAGTTTGGATTGGCCGTAATCGCCAGCCTTTTCATTTTAATCTACGTTTTCCATTTTCCATTTTTGCGCCATGCCATTAGCACTCGAGGCTTGAATCTGACAGACTTCAATTTTGAAAAGCCGTTTAGATAGCAACGCATTATAGGTTAATATAGAAGGATATAATCGAGAGAAAATAGCAAACCTTTTAAAATTACGGCAAAAAACATAATATTTCAAAATACCAACATCCTCGTGCAAAAGGCCGTTTCAGGACTACAGCGGTGAATCCCGACGGGATAAGAAGAAATGGACCCTGGAACAGCTGAAGGGTGGAAACACCTTCCTCAGCATGCAGGTAATTTACCATTGTAAACATTAAAACCCAAATTCTGTAGGCTGCCACCAACAAGTTTGAGTCGCAGCGTGGAATGACTGGTATCGGTATGCCCAGATGGAACGTGACCAAGGATAAGAAACTTGGGTAAGAGCGGACAAGTTTCATTTATATAAACAGTTTGGCAATAAACACATCTTTTAGATTATATTCCAAATCGTTTCAGATTCATCGAGCCCGATCGTCGATCTGAGGGTATGCTCCGAGTACAGTGCGGAACGAATCAGTATGCCTCGCAGAAGGGAGAAACCCCCATCGGAGCTGGCCGCAATCAAGTTTGCATTTCTTTCTAGGCTGTCATAATGTTTTTAGGTCCCCCATGTTGCCTACAAGAAAGAGTGGGAGACGATCTTGGACAAGGAAGGAGAGAAGATTATGCCAAAGCAAGCCGGAGATTTCGGACTTGCCTCGCAGGCCGGAGAAATCTCCATGGGTTCCCACAGAAATCAGGTAAATTAATTTAAAACGTAGGAAGAACGGATATACTAGCCTTAAGTGCGTATAAAAATGTTATGGACATAATAGACAAAAATGAACGGGCTCTACAGAAACCAACCAACCAACCAACCAATCAATTTGATTTAAATGGACTAATTAGCTTTAAATTTATAGCGGGAACTAATAGAACTAATAGAGGAATTTTGACGGGTAGACGCGTGGTAAGGTTACTTAAAAACTCGGTAAGGGTAGAAAAAATAGATTGATTTTAAATGGGTAGAGAAGCTTGGAATCAAGCATCGACAGACATGCGGCAGACAGAACTATTCAATGTTCTTCAGCGTAGATTTTGGCGCTTATAATTTTTGTAAAATATGTACAATTAGTTTTCGTTTTCTGGGTGTTTCTCGTAGCAGTCCCTACCCAATCCACAAAATCGCCGAATATGCCTAGACCCATTGAAACTTTTTGCACTTCGAGAAAAGCTACAACAATTAAGTAACTAGCCTTGAACGAGCATAGCCATGTAATTTGCCAATTCTAGGTGCCCAACATCCGTGGGCGCATGCCGCACGACCGACGAACCCACGGTGTGTTGTGCTACCAATACGGAACGAACGTGTTCGCCTCCCAACAGGGAATGAGCAACCCGCCAGGCCTTGGCGCTGTCCGCCAGGCAACTATGTACATTGAGGGTCTTGGATTCAGGTGGGAAATCTCTAAGCTGGCTTCTAAACTTTGTGTTTCAGCGAGGACAACCTGCGAAAGGGTACCGAATACACCCCATGGTATTCTGGCCAGAACAAGTTTGCTTCGCAAAAGGGATCCGGTGGATTCCTCAAGGTCCGAGATGTGTTGCCCCACACCGAGGTAGAACATTCTTTTGGTTGCTTGAAGTTTGTTGCTTTAGGGTGGAAAGGAAATTGATGAGGAAAAGAAGCAGCTTTCGGAGGGTATTGTCCCGCTTCAATCTGGCACCAACCGTTTGGCCTCTCAACGAGGAATGACTGGATTTGGAACACCCAGGAACACCATGCTCCGACAGGGATGGAAGAAGGAATGGTACGCTATGTCTTAGATCTTACTTTCTCTTGGAGCTCTGTAAAGTAAAAATCCTCTCGCTTAACTTTTCGATCTCGGAACCTTTCAAAACCTCAAACCCACTGCTCAAAAACCGGGTCCATCTAATCAATACCCTTCCTGAAAAACCGCAAGCCTGAATAGCCAGCCGAGACTTCTCACAGCTGCCCCTAAAAACTGCGAGGGTTTTGCAAACAGCAATGGAAGGGCTAAGGTTTGGATAGAGGAAGGCTTTTCTCTGTTGACACGGGCAAATGTGGCACTCATCGCCGAGGGTCCACGCATCCATCCTCAACCCGGCCACCGACTTCTTTCGATTCAACGGCCAATGGGAGGGCCCGTTTCCAAGTCTCGCCCCAATAATATCGCCAATTCGATCGTCCGGACAATTGGTGCAGACGGATTAAAATTTCTGTACCAGAAAAGAAAGAAATGATAATGTATGATAAGGTGAAAATGACAGATACAAAGTAGGTTAGTTATTAAGAATGCAAACTGGAAGCTAAGGACGAGGATCGATGGAAACCTGGGTTTTCCAGGATCGAGGATTACGAGGCTGCCATGCGCGACTGGGAGGAGAACCGCCCGCCAGGCTCAGCCTCATCTGTTGATCCCTTCGGACATTACAAGAAGAAGTTCGAGGAACGAGAGGTTAGTTATGCTGATTGATGACAGATGATACATTAACATGATGGTATGATATTCAAAATCCGAGTTTCGACCTGAAACCAATTGTCTACCGCCACCTTCACCCGCTTTTTCTACAACATTGTATGTTTTTAGTCTGCCCGGCATTCGGATGTCGATGTAATGTCAGTGAAGGCCCATAGCGAAAAAGCTGAAGAGCCAGAAGAGGAGGAAGAAGAGGAGGAGGTCGCTGAGGAGGAGGCCCCAGCCGCTGAGGAGGAAAAGGTACTGTTTACACTAGACACTGTAACACGGCACTGCCTTCAATCCCACGCTTAGACATTGGGGAACTCCCCCAGTTGCAGTGGACAGTATATGGCCTAAAAATTGGGTTTTCACTTTACAAATTGATTTTCCAGGTTGAGGAAGCCGAGGTTGAGGAGGAAGAGGAGGAAGAAGACGAGGAGGAATACGAAGAAGAGGAAGAAGAGGAGGAGGAAGAGGTAGCTTTTTAATCAATACAACGCATTTCAAGTTGTATTTGCATTATCTGTTTAAACGAATCTTTAGGAATAGAACTCGACCCGCCGAATGAAAGCCCGTGCCGTTCCACTGAAAAAGCTCTTTAGAAGAAAAGTCTTCTAACATATCATCACATATTGTCCTGATCACATGTCCTTCCTCGGTGAATAAATTTTAATGCTTGTAGGGTAAAAGCTAAGGACGAAATTTTGAATAAAATTCAGCACAAAATACCGTGCAGCTAACAAATATTTAAACTATAATTGGCATTCGTGCTTACAGTAAATATCACGGGGGGTAGAAAGATTTGCCTTCTGAATCGAAAAATCGATCACTTTGCTTACAGTTAGGGTACATCCCAAAGGCCAGGGAAGTGCATCAAAATGTCGGTGAATATGTAAACAAGCCAATACGAGAAAAACAGAACATTCGTTCCCCACACCAGCCGCGCTCACTTCTGCATTCTCCTCCACTTTCTCGCCGGGCGTTTACTATTTTCTCCTAAATTTTTAGTATTCCTTAGAAAACCTTATGTCAATTCAGAGTATTCAATTCAGAGAAGATCATTTATGCAATGGGGTTACAACAGTAAAAATAAAATCCGAGATGATTTGTTAGTTACTCAGAATTCAAACACGCTGGGGAAATTCTAGATTCTCAGTCACTTCACAAAATTGTAAATAGCTTTCAATTGATTTATATACGTTTTAAGACAGCCAAGCAAACGCTTGGGGTATTCCACGTGGCGACAACCGTTGGTAACCTAGTTTCAGGTTTTACCATTATTACTAGCATCTGAGAGACATCAAACCTTCTGTATATAACCGAAGCGGCTATCTTTATTTCTAGCACGTTCAGAAATCTTGGTCCGAAGCAATATTAGTTAGCTACACCGAAAGGCCGATCGCCCGTGCATAGACAAAACATCTGTGTAACGTGCTGTCCAGAAACGGGGATCGTCGTAAACAGCTGGTTCTGGCCAACCACCCCCTTTTCCGATCAGAATCTTGAATTTCAAAACATCGACTCCGAAAACCTCCACTGTTTAACATCACGAATAATCAGAATTTCGAATACTGATGACGATTGATCCACATACTTAACATTATTTATAAGAATGAGAACTATCATAATCATACTTTTTCGCGATGATGTGATGGTCACCTCATATTCACGAAATCGGCGAGATTATCGATCCTCGTGCTGGTTTTTTTATAAAGTGGCTTGGTCAGCATCGAATCATCGAATCTGTTTGTCGAGATTTTATTTATATTATAACCAGCGCCCAAAGCCCGCTTCGCGGGCCTTGGGCGCTGGAATGCGGTCTTTGAATGAGAAGTTTGACTTTCCGATAGCCTGGGTCCTGCGGACCCCTATCCCCCACCGACCACACACGCGCGTGCAACTTGCAAGAATGAAGAAATTTGTATTTTTTCGCGTTATGCAAATTAGCCCTCAGGAACCCCCAAAAATGAATAAAACCGGCTTTAACTTTGTAAACTTGTATTTTATCAAAATTCTGAACGCGCCACCGGAAACAGAAGTGACGATTCCCCCGGGTGACGGAGAATCAGAGCATTTTATGTACGGGAAGGCCCTCAAATCGGGCCTCGAAACTGACATCCACACACACACAAAGATACACGCCAAAATTATATAAGGTAGGAAATGCTATTACCAGGATTGAAAAGCCGCATCGCGACTTTTCAACCCTGGCCCGTTCTGGACCACTGAAATTTCATACTTTGCATAATTCCGCCGCAATTAACAGACAAAAAAAGATAAATTCTCCTACATACTTCTTCTACTTCCGGCATATGCTAATCGTTTCCTAACAAAGATGGCGTCCGAAAATTCCACAAAAACCTAATGTTAATATCGAAATCGCTTATTTTGATGATTCTATTAAGTGTACCGTCATCGCAGAGCCATTACGCACTTAATGACGTACCATAATACCCTACGGCTCGCACATCGGTTGAGATTTTTGTCGAGATCATAGCATAGTTCTCTGTCTTACAGCTCTGGAAATTTCCAACAATATTTCATATCTTTCAAGAATGGATCACATTTAGATGGATATCGAACCAGTGTCAAGGGCCTTCAACTATCACCAGGCGCAGCCAGGAATACCTCAGCTGCTACATTACGGATATCTCTGGTATGCCAGGTTGCATATCTACCTTAGCATCATCTTCTTTGGCTCCCATATGTAAGTTGTGTATCATTATAAATCTCTTTATATATCTGGATCTTATACATTTTCAGGCTGCTTGGGGGCACCTTTGAATGCTGGGGTGAACAAAATTTATCTCCCTCTTGGATACAATATGCATCCGCTCGATGCTTTTATGGGTTGACATATGTCGCAAAAACATATGATATCAATACCGGAGAAGTGACCAGCATTAAGGTGTTGTAAATTTGGAAGATATAATTCTAAGAATATTTGCAGCATCATCATGGTTGGTACGCCTTCGTGCCCATCTATTTTTTGATATTTGGATCGATACCGCAATTTCTGTCTTTTTTATTTGCCAACCTATCAAAGTGTATGGGTAACGTATCTCCTGTAATAAGGATTTAGGCCCGATCGACTTGGCTCGAATTGTTTATTCCGTGAAGAGAACGGCAACGATTTCCTGTGAAGATACCGTCGATATGGTAAAAATATTTTTGCATATTTACAGTCTGTGGTTTAGCGTAACCTTTCGGTTCATCTGATACGCGCACATCATGTCACTAATCCCAACTCGAGGCATAAGTAGGAAACAGTTTACTATTTAGGCTTTATTAATTAATAATACTATTTAAGCTATTGATATCTATTTTTAATGGGTGACTGATTAAATTCCTCTATTATTTTTCAGCTGTTTTATACATGATCTCATTGAAAAGGCATTATTTTGTCTGATGATGATAATCGAGTGGTGTTTCTGCAGCTACTTTTTGGGATACCCTCACTTTTGGCCAATCGAGGTACACGACCAAAAAAATGATGTAAAGATTATTCGTGAAATTTTAGAAATTTCAACATCAATTCATGTCAAATCCCGATTATCCAAAACAAGAGTATTTTTCCCGTAAAGTTATGTGTGAAACAGAGGTCAGTCTCTAACGTATAGAAAACCCTGGCGTCTTTTTTAGGTGGCTGCGGAATTTGACGTCCGAACCTACCAATTCCAATGTTTTATGAACGGAAACGTCGTTTATGAACAGATATTTTATGTAAAGTGGTCGGTCGACTTACTGGCGAAAAAAATTCTGGATCCTGTTTCAGGTTCTATTCGATAGTGCTAATTGTAAGCGGGGCTATTGATATTGTATATACCCTCTGTGAAGTCGGAACACCGAGGCTACGCGAGTATTATATTAGAAAGTGAGATTGATCGGCAACTTTGCAAACAATTATTTTTAGCCTTCACCTTCTTGTACCATCGTTAAGCACTTTACTACGCAGCACAAAGTCCGAACCAAGCAAGAAACTATCAGCACGTTTTGTGAAGTGGTTAGGAACTGGTACAGCAATGCACGAAAAATTGAGCAACCCTTTGCAGATGAAATCTATACACTTTACCGTATCTCCAAGCATGTGCATTGGAATTATACGGCTGCCATACTCGATCATCTCTACAAAGTGTTCCTGGATGAGAAGGTTAGACATTTATATCTATAATTATTTACTAATTTTTAGGAATTTGCGGCGAAGAAGGTTGAGGAGCCGAAAAAGCCAAGAGACGAGGATGGAAAACTCGACAGCGTTGAGGAACAAAACGGGATAGACCCAACTCTGTGCTGCTGATATCTATATATTTGTAAAGCAAGCTCGGATCCTCGGCTCCTTTCAGTTTATGTGCTTGAAAAAAGCAAATTGCTTTTTTTGTTTTATCTGAAATTTATAAATAAATAAGCTTTATTTTTACTGAGCTGTGACGGGGGCCTAAGGTAATGTATAAATTTACTAAGCCTAAACTTTTGCATGGATATTGTAATAACGATTAATGCAAAGATTTATGTACAAAAAAGAGCACATGGTAAAGATTAGTCAATTGATGTCGGTCAAGTTTCTTGGCTTGCTGTGGCCTCGGGACTGGGGAAGCGCAAAATAAGTTAGACCTTGAAGGCGGCATGGCACGGAGAAATGAGGAACGACCCTTTTTTCTGCTAACAAGGTTCTGAGAGGATCTTTACTTGCGTGCTCATCCCAGGCCATCTAACCTAAAGGCCCCTTTCACGCTCTAAAACTATTCTTAACTATCCTGATCTTCAAAAGCCAAGCATTTTGTCTGTGTTGACCTGTGGCTGTTGCTCTTTTGTAGCTGTCAATAGCAATTATCTTCAATTCGTGTGTCGTCTGGGAATGCTCTTCACTAAAGTACAACCCTCGGCGGAATTGGGATTTTTTTTCTGGGTCACTGGGACAATATTTTTATCAATGTTACTATAACTGACCATCCATAACCGGAGCATTTTTTTGGCGGAATTTGTTGGTAGGGTGCGAAACCATATTGATTTTTTCTGGGAGAAACCGTGACCCAGAAAGTGCATTCCATGGACAGATATAGCCGATCATAAGCCGGTGAACGGCTCTTCCAAAAACTGCGATGGACGGCTGTGGAAACCTGATTTTGCAGTCGTTTCTTTGGAACGGCCTATGCCAATGTATCGAGATATACACGGCAAATCTGCCAAATATCTTGGATTGATACCCGTTCAAACCAATTGAAAACCTTTCTATTTCCGGCAAAATTCAATAACGAGACCAAAAAAACGAAGTCGACAGTTTCACGGATTTTATGACGAGTTGTGCTTTGATGTTAACCCAGAATCATCAATGATTCGGATGGACTTGTCAACGTTCATTAGCTGCATCCTGACATTTCGGCATTCCATCCGGTAAAGTGCATTGCCTGTCAACCAAAGTTGAGCCTGAGATCCACCTATCAAAAAAGAACTGCCCTACCTCATTGCCGCGCCCGCCTACGCAATCCGAAATCTGTTTCATTGTTTCTCTTCATCCTCTTTGCTTTAAAAGTGAGGATTAGGCAAAAAGGCCTTTCTGAGCGGGATCCAGAACCTGGGCTGAGCTCGTATCTGGACAGGGAAGAGGGGGAGGGGTGGGGAACGGAACGTCCGCTCCAACATGAAATCCGCGAAAAGCGCCTGTGAACGAAAACTGGGTGAGGAACGAAAATTGAAATAGAAACCCGCGCTGCCTCCGCCCTTCGAGCTTTGGGGCCGAATCGGCGCGGCTATGTCTGGCCAACGCATTTAAAGGCTCCAACGCCTCACTCCGCAGCTTAGACACGCTTTTTCTGCACCTTTTTTGTTGTCAGTAACCACGTGGAGATGGGATAGACAGGGCTGAGGTTAAATTCCAGGGAAGCCACCTTGCACCACCGGTCGCACTTTAGAGCCGAGTGCTTTTAATGAGCCTGTAAAGTGAGCGCGTCTCTCCTTCCCCCTAGAAGCGGTTCTTCTCTCCCATTTTTTAAAACCACTCGGTCGGACTGAATTGGCTATCGATACGTCTCCCCCCGGATTGCCGGTATTGAACCGGCGCAAGGAAATCCGTCATTAATCACCAGATGTCCGCCCCAGGGCGTTCGCAATTTCAAAGCCCTTTTCCACAATAAGCTTTTTTACACTGCTTCATTCCTAAGCATTTCTTCCTCCCAAATAGCTTTTGACGAATTAAAGACTGTCTGGCCACCGTTTGCTATGGTCCACTATTTTCGTTATTTCCCGAATTGCAGTCAAATTATTTGTATTACCCTTTTCCCCTCAGCTAACCAAATACAAATGTGCAAAATACCCCCTCAGAAGTTGACTATAAATGACCCGATCTTTTCATCTTATTTTATCCATAATTATTTTATTTTACTATTCTTATTTCGGATCCTTTTAGATGGGCCTCGACACTCAACGGTCTTTTGTATTTTTAATATTTTTGGCGGTGATAGAGGTATGAAATAAACACTTGAGGCTTCTACTTTCTGTTCAGGCTTCTTATATAGCAAACGACGTAGTGAGTGATTATGCTCAAGTACGAGAACTTCTAAACGAATTCTATGGGCGTTCAGCGAGACGGATTGGAAGTGACTATGTAAGCCTTTGTGATTTTAGCTGATTACCATAACAGGACCCTGCTGCAATCGGAAAAGATGATGGGACGGTGGTTAATGACGGAACAGAACATTCGGTCAATCGAAAGTTGTGGACTGAAGTCTTCGAAAATGATATTATTTTGACATTGGATCAAGCTCAAAAACTACTACGAGAGCAAGGTAGGCAGATATTAAACTCATATTAATTACCCCTTAATCGTAAGCTGAATCAAATAAGATCTAATAGCACTCTTCGCACCTAAAAGAAACTTGTACCCGGAAAGGCGCCTCCAACCCGTTCCTTGCAACACCTATGCCCTTTCAGCCTACAAAAAAGGAGAAACCGGTTTAGGCCCACATCCAAGAAATAAACGACAGGCCGAGCCAAATCCCAACAAGTTTTGGAGCAACCTGACCATCTCTTACGAATTTGCTGTCACAGATTGTAGGTGTTTGAACGTACGATTTGTGGAGAAGGAGTATTTCAGCCACTTGGCAAAATCAAATCCGACAAGCGCTACGTCATGTTGAAAGCCAAACATGTATGCGCTTCCGCGAAGGAGGCTCTGATCGGTTGGTTAACACGGATTTTGCACGGCCTTTCCTACTGCAACCTTAAAATATTTACTAAAATTACCGGCGATCCGGGATGACATCTGGGATTGGTTCGGGTTCATTCTAGCTTTTTGATGCGGGGCTATGCTAACTAAAACGGGAAACATAAAAGCATGCTGCCCAAAAATCCGCAATCACCATCACCAAAGCCTGCCAAAAAAACTCGAATTTCAATGGACGCAATGGGGGGGGGGGGGCGGTACAGGACAAACCTTGATCAGATTAGCCGCCGGCAGCGACGGCTACACTTTTTTTCCGGCGCGGCTGGTTGAGGGCAGGAGTCGCAATTGGGAAATTAGGCGGACAAGAAGACTTGTTTGATTGGACTGTCCTGTTATATTCTTCAATATGTACAATGCCGTTGCAAATTAATATAAGGTTGACAAGGCTAAAAAAAAAGCTGTTAACAACGTTCCAGTAGCCAATACATACTTACAAGATTAATGGTGTCGATAGTGGTCTAGATACCCAAGGTGGGAATACATAGAAAATAAATCTCAGCTTGTACTAAAAGTAGCCTTGATAGATGCAATAGGATCCTTCGTAATCTGCGGCCAGGGCCTTTTTGAAAAATAAACCTTTAATCGTGGATAAGCATAAACTGTCGATGTTCCGATGTTTCCAGTAATCGCCTGCAATTCATCCGTGGAAGTGGATGCTGGTCGAATGTTGGTATGATTGGCGGAAGACAGCAAGTTTCCGTCGGTTACGGATGTGAATGGGTGAGTTAATGAGCGACAAAAACAGGGGGTTTAATGTCATAGATTCTTCTATATTTCATCGTTTTTTGGAGACCATATGATCGCGACCCGGTAGAGCATTAAAAAATATCTTCAGATTTTTAATTTTGGATGAAAACACTGTAATTTAAGGAAATTATAAAAAAGCGAAAATAACCCGTCGGTACGCTATTTTTCGAGATTTTCGACATTTTTAGATATTCCATTAACGCTATTGAATAGAGGATCAAAACATAAACGAAGAGTTGGTAATATATATAGTATACAGATCAGAATAATGTAATTTAAGACAAGAGAAGCTATCGACAAAAATCCCCCCCGATACACTCCCCTCCCCCGCTAACGAACCAGAACCCGATTTTCTACGGTGCGTATAATTCTAAATGCGTAAAACGTCAAAACACCAAATAAAATAATTTCAAATGAAAAACTTGTTTTTCTTTGGGAGTCGAAAATTCCAATAATTAAATCAGACAAGCTCTATTTCAACCATCAAATAATTCATCAAATAGCGCGTCGCCGTCCAGAGCAGGTTATCTTCACGATTTGCCGTTTTAGATGGGCATCATCTCGCACGAAACGCTTCATGCTCTTGGGCTATGGCACGAACAATCAAGGAACGATCGCGATGACTTCATTTCATTACGATCCCAATATATCATTCGAGTAAATATAGAATTGTTTCTACAATTATGCAATTTAGGGAACGATTGGAAACTTTGAAAAACGGACACCCCAAACCAGCGATAATATTGGCCAACCATACGATTTAGGTATTTGTATAGATTTTTCGAAAACTTAGATTCTAGGATCTGTGATGCACTACGGACCAAAAGCATTCACCACTGATTGGGGACAGTAAGTGTCATGTATCATAAATAGACTTCTGGAACGGCATGCGCAAACTTATTTTCCCCTGAAATTTTCCAATTAAGATTTTAACGCAATCTTTTTTGGCGAACGTTGTATCAAAAATTTCTTAGAATTAATAACAAACAAGGGTTGAAAACCGCTTCGCGGCTTTTCAACCCTGGACCCGTCTAGGACTTCCGAAAATTTAACTTTCCATAGGGCTTGCCGAATGCCGATCACCAAAAATGAAAAGCGCCCTCCCTCCCTTTTATAGGCTACGGCCACTTCCGGTCAATGCTATCATAACGTACCTTAAAAACCGTCCCCGGAGGGTGTAGGTGCAGTACATACTTACGGAAGTTGCTTGCAAATATACACACACGCAGACACTATTTTTTTATATATAGTAGGATTAAGATCAAATCAGGATAAACCTCCCATGTCTCTAGAAACACGATCGCTACTCGGGATCCCAACTTCCAACAAACCATCGGACAACGTGAGGGCATTTCATTCAAGGATGCCAAAATGATCAACACGCGATATTGTACAAGTAAGATATTTTTTTAACTTTCGTTGCATGGTGGTGCGGTGTTTAATTACGATAGCATTAGCATTCTATGATTAAATCCGTAATAGTACGATATTAGTAAATGGGGTTCAATTCTACTTTTGCGTGAATATATCAGTAGGACAAACCGCAATTTATCATGTTTTTGAGCGGAATCGTAGTAAGAAAAACAAGGAAATAGTCATAAGAAAAAAAACACTGTAATGAGATTGGGCCTAAACCTTCTTGAGATTGCTTACCTCGCGCGACAAATTTCCGCACATCATGACGCGAATTGAATGCAAAATGTCACTCTCAAGCATTCTTTAAAATAAGGGTTGTCGCAAAAAGCATGCCTCTGGCATTGGACCAGAGGTGTATCCCATCCTCAATAATCAGAATACTGAGTTATAGTCCGATAGCTAAAGTATTTTTCGCTAGTGAACCAATACGTATGTAGTATTATACGTAGGTATTAAGTGAAATCATGCGGCGACGTTACTTTACCCAGCACTTTCTTGACAAAAACCACCCAACAATACGATGCTTTAAGTGATTTTCACATCTTAGTCCATGTCCTTAAGCAATACCAGAGATTGATTCATAGCCGAAAGTCGATCCCAATCGACGCAAAGCACAAAAAGATAGCCCAAAAACTACCGCAGTGATCGTAGTATAACTAACTCAGAATTTTAGTTATTTAGAGTTCAATGCACTCTGGTCCATCAATTGTAACAGCATTAGAATAAATTAATTTAAGCATTTTAAAACTCTCGAGAATGTGATATAAAAAGCACTATGTTTATAAAGAAAAACTCTAAAGCAGATCTTTTGGTGATTTTGACCTATATGCAGAGAAACGGCAAATTGGTTCGCTGTCCACAGGCTAATCGTCGCTTGCCAGTCGCAAAGCATTTTTCTAGCAAAAACGCTCTAAATCAGACAAAAGCAAATAAATAATGTGATAAAATAAACCACCTTGTAGAGCATGATCAATATTTTTAGAGGTTTGCCCACAAACCCTTTCGTGCCAAAACGAGGGTTACACTGACCCAAATAACTGTGGCTATTGTCGATGCCCCAGTGGCTATGGAGGCCGTTATTGCCAGCATGTGTCTTACGGTAGGCACACAGCAATTGACCCTCTCACTCATCAATCATAATACAGTTGCGGGAAGCGGAGGCGGTGAGCTGACAGCTTACGACTCGTGGTACCGGATCATCACCGATTTTGTCAAACCAACCACAAACACTGTTTATCGCATCAAGGTAATATTTTTAACTATCTTTTCTTTCATTTCTTTTTCATTTCATACATTTTTTTGTCAGTCCGATGTCGCCGCTCTAGCAATAATGATGACGATTTTTCACATAGCGACAAATGAAAAGCGCCTCTTTACTATCCAGAGCCACACAAAAATTCATTGATTCCAATCGTCGGGCGATCAAAACTACGTTTGACCGATTTGTGTTGTTTCAATGAAATCAAGCGCCATAGCTCGTGTTTTCCTAAAAAAATTATTTCTTGAGGCGCGATGTCCGGATAATTTTTTACACCTCTAGTGATAGGACGGGAGTGCAGTTTCAGGAATTTATCTCCATTGGCAGTCATATAAACGATTTTACAGGCCGCTCCGGGGCAACGCATCGAGCTGCTATTCGAAGAGGTTTCATTCTTATGCAGAGATACTTGCAAGAGTTACGTCGAAATCAAATACAAAAACACCAAGACGCAAGCCGGTAAGGCTTTTTCTACTTAATACTGAACATTAATGGGCTTACTACTTTACTTTACCTCCACCCGAGCCCGAAGCTCCCAAAATTTTTCTCGATTTCCGCAATTTTGGTGGAATTTTTGCTACGCCATTCGATAAAGCCTAAAAAATATACTAAAAGTTTCAATTACAGCCCAAAATAATGTGTTATAAAAAAATTATAGCGATAAAATTTTGGGGACTTCCGGCTGGGGGTGGGGTGGTAAAGTAAAATATGGTATATACACCTTGACGTATCAAAACGATTCCATTCAGGTGCACGGCTTTGTTGCCAAAAGCCCGGTGTGATTATCTCAGAGGGTAATGAAGTGGTGCTGATCTATCGAGGAGAGCCGGATCTGCCGAATGGATATCACGGCTTCACACTTCGTTATCGCATATGTAAGCAATCCAACGCAATATCGTAAGCCTGCATTAAGTCAAAAATTCTTTAGTATTCTCATAGGAAAATTAACTGCTAAATTCAATAGTTCAATACAATGCGTTGGTTATAGTACCCAAGCGTACAGCTAAGCTAATTTTTATTTTTTTTTGCGAGGGTTTGAGGTTCCTATGCATATGATTTTCCATGGAGCACGACTCGGGCACTATCTTTTCTTTCCTTCAACCCTTTTTGGTTCTTATACTAAACCTATCCATTGGCTTTGATGGACATATTCTTACTGTTCCCCCTTATTATTTATTTAAAACTTTTCGGTTTGTCTTTTTCCTAAAGCTCGCACCCGATAATCTACGACGCGATCTGAATAATCAACGTTTCAAGACAAATACCGTGCGGCTAGTCGGACAACAAGCCACCGTACTTGGTTTGGACATTGGAAGAAGGGGCGACAGGGAAATGCGTTAGGTAATTACCGATCACATAACAACAATGTGACGGTATCAAGCGGGATGCACTCAGGGCAACATTCGACATAATAACAAAATAACATGCTAATAACTTGCACGATAAGGGTTTGGACGGGCTTCAGCAGATATGAGGGCGATTAAATGTTTTAATTTAGATGGATCGCCAGAGACGAATATCACCGAAATTCCTGAAGCTAAACCAGTTCCACCCACCGATGAAGATGGAGAGGAGGCAACGGAAGCCCCATCCACTAAAACCACCACAACAACCACGACAACGTATAAACCTCCAGCCAAGGTAGGGATATACGGAAACTCTCCAGCAGCAATTCATACCCAAAATGCCTAAATGGGGGAACCACTCAATCTTTGCGAAAAAGCTAGATGAAAAACTAGGCAGCCGAAAGACAATCTGCCATCATTCACCCTTTCCTTTCCGTTTTTTATCTTCCAACCTATTTCAAACAGCATCTTACTGAGAATTAGATTCTGCCGAATGGTGTGTTTCATTAATACGTGAGGGGTCTTAGGACATCTCCCGGATACGTGTATGGACTATTTTTCCCCCTATTCTTACACAGGATGCCCCAAAATAGAAACATCCGCCTCTGACGGCCCAGAGTCTTATCCTATTTTTATCCATTGGCGTATCTAGCAAAGCTCTCGAAATGGCCAGAAAAAAAGCAGCCTTCGTTTTCTAGATTAGGTGATTTAATTGTACATTTTTCTAACTAAAAACTATGAAACGATTAATTTTTGCGAAATCCGTAAACGCCAAAAAATTGTCAGAATCAGCGGAAAATTCTTGCAAAATCGCCTATAATCTCGAATTTAGACGACGAATGGAGAATGGGGAGATTGGGGCGATTGGTCGACGTGTTCTCATGCGTGCGGAGGTTGCGGAACCCGCGTCCGTGTCCGTGCCTGCTACGGTGGAAATCGAAATTGCCAGTACGGACCCATTCTTAACAACATAACCATCATTAACGGAAGCTAAATTACTACGCTTAATTATAGAGGGAAGAAAACCGAAGAAGAGTCTTGCAACATACATCAGTGCATTTACCGCAAGAAGTATGAGAAATATGAAGAAAAAGAAAAGAAGTTGGATAACTGCAAGGGACAAATTGTACTACCGTGCGATTTGATGGAAAAACTATATTTTGGTATTAGAACGTGCTTAGGCATAACCATAATTTGTTTAGGCAAGAAAGTTAACAGGGTGAAGCGCTCCGTCAATGATTCCAATCAATGCGAAAGGTTTATTGTAACATTAATTTGTCAATCCATTTTTAGATCATTTACCTATGCATGCCCGACAAATCTCCTCACGATACATGTCGATTGGAAAGCTCCTAGCGATGTTCAAAGCGGTAATTTGGAAAATTCCAGTATCTTACAGCATCCTCAATCACTGATTTGGTTAAAAGATATGGTCATCGAAATTCAGATCCGCCGGCTTGCTGTGAAGGCTACTATGCTAGCGGCACCCAATGTTATAAATATTGAATATTGTGCAATTCTGACGAAATATGGATGCAATAAATATCTACCAATATTTGCAATCCAGGCACATTTATCTGCAGCGTGTGGCGAAACCGTTGTCGTCGGTTTTTGCCTCATATCTCACCTCATATTAGGAGGAAAATTCAGGTAATTTCGCCGGCAACGATATCTTCAGTCCGATGACTTGCGGCCGATGGCCGGCGCACAACGTCCGTCGATTTTTTTGACGCTATTTAAAAAATACGCAGGAATACTTTATGCACACGAGGATGCAGCCGGATGCTGAGTGGTTAACTAATTATCCGTTAACGTACGTGGTGTTAAAGTAGACGGCTTTAAGCTTAAATCGTCAACATTATTAGCGCTGGCGTTTCAATTTTAGGCTAGTAATCCCCAATCTCAGAATTTGGGGCAGCGAGTAACATCGTCCGTTGGAGCAGAAGAAACTGCATCAAACATGTGTGGGACTAGCAAGTTGGTCAGCGAAATTTAGCCGATGGAAAAGCGCGACAAAACTGTTGCCGGTCCCTGCGTGACCGAATGCAAAACAGCTATTCCTGGATGCTGCTTAAAAACAGGGTCATTAAAAACATTCTGGTAGTTCATTAATGCATGAATAGAGTTTATGCTGACGAGGTCTTTGGGCTTAGGCTTAGGCTTAGGCTTAGGCTTAGGCTTAGGCTTAGGCTTAGGCTTAGGCTTAGGCTTAGGCTTAGGCTTAGGCTTAGGCTTAGGCTAGCTTAGGCTTAGGCTTAGGCTTAGGCTTAGGCTTAGGCTTAGGCTTAGGCTTAGGCTTAGGCTTAGGCTTGGGCTTAGGCTTAGGCTTAGGCTTAGGCTTAGGCTTAGGCTTAGGCTTAGGCTTAGGCTTAGGCTTGAGGCTAGGCTTAGGCTTGAGGCTTAGGCTTGAGCTTAGGCTTAGGCTTAGGCTTAGGCTTAGGCTTAGGCTTAGGCTTAGGCTTAGGCTTAGGCTTAGGCTTAGGCTTGGGCTTAGGCTTAGGCTGGAAGCTAGGCTTAGGCTTAGGCTTAGGCTTAGGCTTAGGCTTAGGCTTAGGCTTAGGCTTAGGCTTAGGCTTGGAGCTTAGGCTTAGGCTTGGAAGCTTAGGCTTAGGCTTAGGCTTAGGCTTAGGCTTAGGCTTAGGCTTAGGCTTAGGCTTAGGCTTAGGCTTAGGCTTAGGCTTAGGCTTAGGCTTAGGCTTAGGCTTAGGCTTAGGCTTAGGCTTAGGCTTAGGCTTAGGCTTAGGCTTGAGCTTAGGCTTAGGCTTAGGCTTAGGCTTAGGCTTGAGCTTAGGCTTAGGCTTAGGCTTAGGCTTAGGCTTAGGCTTAGGCTTAGGCTTGAGGCTTAGGCTTAGGCTTAGGCTTGGAGGCTTAGGCTTGGTAGCTTGGGCTTAGGCTTAGGCTTAGGCTTAGGCTTAGGCTTAGGCTTAGGCTTAGGCTTAGGCTTAGGCTTAGGCTTAGGCTTAGGCTTAGGCTTAGGCTTAGGCTTAGGCTTAGGCTTAGGCTTAGGCTTAGGCTTGGAGCTTAGGCTTAGGCTTAGGCTTAGGCTTAGGCTTAGGCTTAGGCTTAGGCTTGGGCTTAGGCTTAGGCTTAGGCTTAGGCTTAGTCTTAGGCTTAGGCTTAGGCTTAGGCTTAGGCTTAGGCTTGGGCTTAGGCTTAGGCTTAGGCTTAGGCTTAGGCTTAGGCTTAGGGCTTAGGCTTAGGCTTAGGCTTAGGCTTAGGCTTAGGCTTAGGCTTAGGCTTAGGCTTAGGCTTAGGCTTAGGCTTGGAGGCTTAGGCTTAGGCTTGGGCTTAGGCTTAGGCTTAGGCTTAGGCTTAGGCTTAGGCTTAGGCTTAGGCTTAGGCTTAGGCTTGGGCTTAGGCTTAGGCTTAGGCTTAGGCTTAGGCTTAGGCTTAGGCTTAGGCTTAGGCTTGGGCTTAGGCTTAGGCTTAGGCTTAGGCTTAGGCTTAGGCTTGGAAGCTTAGGCTTAGGCTTAGGCTTAGGCTTAGGCTTAGGCTTGGAGGCTTAGGCTTAGGCTTAGGCTTAGGCTTAGGCTTAGGCTTGGGCTTAGGCTTAGGCTTAGGCTTAGGCTTAGGCTTAGGCTTAGCTTAGGCTTAGGCTTAGGCTTAGGCTTAGGCTTAGGCTTGGGCTTAGGCTTAGGCTTAGGCTTAGGCTTAGGCTTAGGCTTAGGCTTAGGCTTAGGCTTAGGCTTAGGCTTAGGCTTAGGCTTAGGCTTAGGCTTAGGCTTAGGCTTAGGCTTAGGCTTAGGCTTAGGCTTAGGCTTAGGCTTAGGCTTAGGCTTAGGCTTAGGCTTGGGCTTAGGCTTAGGCTTAGGCTTAGGCTTAGGCTTGAGCTTAGGCTTAGGCTTAGGCTTAGGCTTAGGCTTAGGCTTAGGCTTGGGCTTAGGCTTAGGCTTAGGCTTAGGCTTAGGCTTAGGCTTAGGCTTAGGCTTAGGCTTGGGCTTAGGCTTAGGCTTGGAGGCTTAGGCTTAGGCTTAGGCTTAGGCTTAGGCTTAGGGCTTAGGCTAGGCTTAGGCTTAGGCTTAGGCTTAGGCTTAGGCCCAGGCTTAGGCTTAGGCTTAGGCTTAGGCTTAGGCTTAGGCTTAGGCTTAGGCTTGGGGCTTAGGCTTAGGCTTAGGCTTAGGCTTAGGCTTAGGCTTAGGCTTAGGCTTAGGCTTAGGCTTAGGCTTAGGCTTAGGCTTAGGCTTAGGCTTAGGCTTAGGCTTAGCTTAGGCTTAGGCTTAGGCTTAGGCTTAGGCTTAGGCTTAGGCTTAGGCTTAGGCTTAGGCTTAGGCTTAGGCTTAGGCTTAGGCTTAGGCTTAGGCTTAGGCTTAGGCTTGGGCTTAGGCTTGTGGCTAGGCTTAGGCTTAGGCTTAGGCTTAGGCTTAGGCTTAGGCTTAGGCTTAGGCTTAGGCTTAGGCTTAGGCTTAGGCTTAGGCTTAGGCTTAGGCTTAGGCTTAGGCTTAGGCTTGGGCTTAGGCTTGGGCTTAGGCTTAGGCTTAGGCTTGGAGCTTAGGCTTGAGCTTAGGCTTAGGCTTAGGCTTAGGCTTAGGCTTAGGCTTAGGCTTAGGCTTAGGCTTAGGCTTAGGCTTAGGCTTAGGCTAGGCTTGGGCTTGGGCTTGGAGCTTAGGCTTAGGCTTGGAGCTTAGGCTTAGGCTTAGGCTTAGGCTTGGGCTTGGGTAGGCTTGGGGCTTGGGAGCTTAGGCTTAGGCTTAGGCTTGGAGGCTTGAGGCTTAGGCTTAGGCTTAGGCTTAGGCTTAGGCTTAGGCTTAGGCTTAGGCTTAGCTTAGGCTTAGGCTTAGGCTTAGGCTTAGGCTTAGGCTTAGGCTTAGGCTTAGGCTTAGGCTTAGGCTTAGGCTTAGGCTTAGGCTTAGGCTTAGGCTTAGCTTAGGCTTGGGCTTAGGCTTAGGCTTAGGCTTGTAGGCTTAGGCTTAGGCTTAGGCTTAGGCTTAGGCTTGGAAGCCTAGGCTTGGAGGCTAGGCTTAGGCTTAGGCTTAGGCTTAGGCTTAGGCTAGGCTTAGGCTTAGGCTTAGGCTTAGGCTTAGGCTTAGGCTTAGGCTTAGGCTTAGGCTTAGGCTTGGGCTTAGGCTTAGGCTTAGGCTTAGGCTTAGGCTTAGGGCTTAGGCTTAGGCTTAGGCTTAGGCTTAGGCTTAGGCTTAGGCTTAGGCTTAGGCGTAGGCTTAGGCTTAGGCTTAGGCTTAGGCTTAGGCTTAGGCTTAGGTTTAGGCTTAGGCTGGGGCTTAGGCTTAGGGCTTAGGCTTGGGCTTAGGCTTAGGCGGCTTGGCTTAGGCTTAGGCTAGGCCCAGCTTAGGCTTGGGCAGGCTTGGGGCTTGGGGCAGGCTTGGGGCTTGGGGCTTAGGCTTAGGAGGCTGAGGCTTAGGCTTAGGCTTGGAGCCCTAGGCTTAGGCTTGGGTGGAGCTTAAGCTTAGGCTTAGGGCTTAGGCTTGGGACCTTAGGCTTAGGCTTAGGCTTAGGCTTGGAGGCTAAGGCTTAGGCTTAGGCTTAGGCTTAGGCTTAGGCTTAGGCTTAGGCTTAGGCTTAGGCTTAGGCTTAGGCTTAGGCTTAGGCTTAGGCTTAGGCTTAGGCTTAGGCTTAGGCTTATGCTTAGGCTTAGGCTTAGGCTTAGGCTTAGGCTTAGGCTTAGGCTTAGGCTTAGGCTTAGGCCTTCGCTTTTTTTTATTTTTAGGCTTAGGCTTAGGCTTAGGCTTAGGCTTAGGCTTAGGCTTTGTGCTTAGGGCTTAGGCTTAGCTTTAGGCTTAGGTTTAGGTTTAGTTTTTTAGGCTTAGGCTTAGGCTTAGCTTAGGCTTAGGCTTAGGCTTAGGCTTAGGCTTAGGCTTAGGCTTAGGCTTAGGCTTAGGCTTAGGCTTATGCTTAGGCTTAGGCTTAGGCTTAGGCTTAGGCTTAGGCTCAGGCTTAGGCTTAGGCTTAGGCTTATGAATAGGTTTGGGCTTAGGCTTAGGCTTAGGCTTAGGCTTAGGCTTAGGCTTAGGCTTAGGCTTAGGCTTATTTTAGGCTTAGGCTTAGGGCTTAGGCTTAGGCTTAGGCTTAGGCTTTTGTGCTTAGGCTTTTGTAGGCTTAGCTGGGCTTAGGCTTAGGCTTAGGCTTGTGGCTTAGGCTTAGGCTTAGGCTTAGTCCAGAGGGGGCTTAGGCTTAGGCTTAGGCTTAGGCTTAGGCTTAGGCTTAGGCTTAGGCTTTAGGCTTAGGCTTAGGCTTGTGCTTAGGCTTAGGCTTTCTAGGCCTAGGCTTAGGCTTAGGCTTAGGCTTAGCTTGTGTTTGTGCTTAGGCTTGTGCTTAGGCTTAGGCTTAGGCTTAAAGCTTAGGCTTAGGCTTAGGCCTTTCTAGGCTTAGGCTTAGGCTTATTTTAGGCTTAGGCTTAGCTTAGGCTTAGGCTTAGGCTTAGGCTTAGGCTTAGGCTTAGGCTTAGCTTCATGCTTAGGCTTAGGCTTAGGCTTAGCTTTAGGCTTAGGCTTAGGCTTAGGCTTAGGCTTAGGTTTTCAGCTTAGGCTTAGCTTAGGCTAGGGGCTTAG